TTTCAGGACCCCAGATCCCAGACTCCAATCCCCAAGAGTGCTGGAGATCAGACATTCCACAGCTCAGACTCTGAAACATATCTGTGGTATGGTGGGGAAAGTACCACTCTGGGAGACACAAAAAAGGCTTGGATTCTAATGCTGGAGTTAGGATTCCAAAAGAATGGAATTCAAAGACTGCCTCAGACACTTGCTGTGGGACCCTAGACAAATCACTTTACTTCAGTTTCCTCATCTGTAATATGGGGATAATAACAGCAACCACTTCACAGGATTGTTGTGAAGATCAAATGAGATGGCATTGAAGGACTTTGTACACCTTTTGTTCACTCATTTCAGTTGTGTCTGATTCTCCATGACCCCATTTGGGGTTTTCTTGGCAGAGATCCTGGAGTGGTTTGCCATTTCCTTCCCAGCTCATTTGATAGATGAGGACATTGAGGCAAACAGGGTTAAGTGACTTGCCCAGTCACGCATGTGTAGGATGCCACTCAAATTAAAAATAAAACAAAACACAGAGGTGTCCAAGGAGAAACAGAAAGTTAATTTATTATAGCTATAATTATTATTATTTCAAATCTCGAGATTTGGGTGTCCTCACACCAATGGCTCTGATGAGAGGAGACAACCCGCAAAGGTAGAAGTCAGTTTATATAACCCTGAAGGTTCAATTCCCCCTCCCTCCCCCAACTGCCCACTAACTTGGCTCACAATCTCACACACCAGACTCTAACATAGGACAAAGGACATAGCATACATCTCTGTATTTCTTAGTTTGTTGAGATAATGTCAAAGAAGCAATAAAAAATGTGCAGTTAGGAAGATAATTCACAATTGTTTTGGAAGGTCTTAGGGATTGAACAGACAATGCTGGGAACTGGAAGACATCTGCAAAGGGAGATAAGGGGAGTAGATAAGGAACCTTTTAAGGGTTTTCTGGAGCCAGATTCTTTTACGGGCAAAGACACATTTGAATAAGATTAAAAAGTAGGTTAAGGCTTAACCACTAGACAAATTTTAATTACTGATATATGTCACTAAAAAAAAAATAACTCACAGAAATCTATTCTTAACCCTATCCTACCTTCTGAATTCATTACCTTAATTACACTGAGAAGTCTTCACTGGGACATCCCATTCACACAGCTAGTAAGTGTCTGAGGCCAAATTTGAATTCAGGTCTTTTTGACTGAGGCCCAGAGCTCTATTCATTGTACCATACAGCTGCTCTTTTAAATAAATGCTAGTTATTGTTATTAGTCCTGACTTTACCCCTACTTGGCTCTAAAACAAAATATATAGGATTACCAATTACATTGGTAACCAATGTAACTGAAATAACAGTTGGTGTTGCCAAGGTCAGGATACTGGAATTTGGTGCCAGCTGGTCTGGGCAAAAAAACCCCAAAAACTAATCCAGCTGCAAGTATGTACTTATTACCAGTGTGATCTTAGATAAGTCATCTTTCTGGGTCTCAGTCTCCTCATACGTAAAAGAAGCCTCTGAGATCTCATCCTCAATCATCCAGTGATCAATCCAATGATGGAGTTGGGCCAGATGATCCCCAAAGTTCCTCCAGCCCTAAATCTAAGCCAATGCCAGGGAAAAGAACAGAGGGGTCATGGAAGGACTGAAAGCAGGGCATTTTTTTTTACCAATAAGAAAATATTGTTGAACAACAATGGTCTATGTACCTCTCAGGCTGGGGAAGCTAGATCAGAATAGATGGCAGCCAGTCAGTCAATACGCATTATTAAGCATGTACTATGTGCTAAGCGCTAGAGATACAAAGAACAAAGTCCAATTCAACTCAATAAACATGGATTAATCGCCATACAAAAAGAGGCAAAAGATAGTCCCTTCCCTCAAGGAGTTTATAATCTAATGGGGGGGAGAAAGAACTACATACAAACAAAGATATACAAAGCAAGCTATATACAGAATAAATAGGAAATAATTAAAAGAAGGAAAGCATTGGAATTAAGAGGGATTAGGGAAGGCTTCCTGCAGAAGTAGGGAGTTTACATTCTAATCAAAGAAAGAAAGACTCTCCTGGTTACACCAGGCCCCAAAGACAGACGTGCCCCAAGGCACAGGGAATGATAAGTGTATACATGGATAGAAACAGAGCATTGGCCCTAGAGTTTGGGTTTTCATTTCCTTCTATGTTTATCCAATTCCAAGGTCAAAAACTGTGTCGGAGTGCTAAGTTCTTCACCCACTTCCCCAGGTCACATGCCCCCATTGCTCCATAACCACCATCCTCCAAGACTTGCTGTTTCCAAAGGCCACAGTTTGCCTTTGATGCCTCTCCCTCGTCCCCTGGAGGGTTGGGAAGCAAAGCCCAGTGACTTGAACCCACAGTGGCCTGTGTCTGATGAGGTCCCTCATCCTTCCCCATGGTCTCCGGGGGAGACCTGACTGCAACGGCCTGAGCACAGAAAGACAAGCTTGGGCTCCACCTGCTGCCCTCCCAGCTCTGGGGCACACAACACTCCACCCCACCCCCCTTCTCAGAGGTTGCTTAGCTTCTGCTAAGGAGCTCCAGCTTGCCCAGCCTCATCGTTCCCTCTCACCCGCACCCTCACCCTCCTTTGCCAGGCATGCAGACTTTTCTAGTGAGTTCCGCAGCCCCTTTCTTACTGGGGCAGAGTACCACCTGCTTCTATTTAGCCTCATGGAAGAGAGGCCACATCAAAGAAGCAGGAGGCAGAGGGCACCAAAGGTTGCCACACTGGAAATGGGACAGGCAAATAATTTTGTCCCTGGAGGATCAATATCTGTGCCAGTGATTTAGCAGGAAGACTGTTCCTGGGATCAGCTGGGCAGTGGCCCATTTCCACAGCCCTCCCCTTTCTCACTTCTCTGCTGCTCCTTTTGTCCTTTCCTCTGCTCCCCACTTCATCTTACCTCAGGCTTGCCTTCCTTTAGCTGGCAAGACAAATATTTCTCTACCTTCTCTCCAGGGTAGGCAACTAGGTGGCTAGATGGCTCAGTGGATAAATACTGAGACAGGAAGAAGACCTGGGTTCAAATCCTCCTTCCCACACTTACTAGCTGTGTGACCCTGATTGAGTCACTTAACCTCTACTTGCCTTAATCCATTGGAGAAGGAAATGGCAAACCACTCCAGTATCTTTGCAAAGAAACCCCTCCTGGACAGTATGGTTCATGAGATCATAAAGAGTTGGACATGATTGAACAACAACCACCCTTCCAGGTTGCTGAGTTTTTTGTTTTGATTTTTTTTGTCCTTGGGGTTGAGGGTTAGGGGGAAAAAGGTGGAAAAATACTTTGTAATAAATCTCCCGCTCTCCCATCCCTTTCTCATGTTGTTGTTGTTGTTGTTGTTGAACCTTCCAGGACTGACTGACAAGGAGCTATTTTAAGGGAGAGACCCCTTTTGTGTTATCCACATACTCTACTCCATCTGAAGTCAATCTGCTTATGCTACTGACTAGGCATCTACTCAAGTCAGGCCAAGTCAAGTCAGGTGGAATCAACAAGCATTATTAAGTGCTTACTTACCATGGGCTAGGCACTGCACTAAGTCCTAGGGATATGAAGAATGACCACAAAACAACAGCAAAAACAAAACCAGTCCCTTCCCTCAAGAAGCTTACATTCTAAAGGGGAAGATAGCTCATAGACAAATAATACAAACAGGATATATACAGGATAAATTGGAGATAATCTGAGAGGGATTTCTTCTATTTCCCTTTTTTTTCTCTCCCCTTTCTTCTCTCTTCTCTCTTTCTCTCCCCTTCTTCCCCTTCCCCTTTCTTCTCTCTTTCCCCCTCCAGCCAAACATCATACTTTTTTATTTATTTTCTTTCTAACTCAGCCATTCTTCAACTGATGGAAGTGCCTTTAGTTTCCATTTTTTTTTTACCACCACAAAAGAAGCTGCCATAAATATTTTTTACATAAAAGACTTTTTCCTATTTCTTTGATCTTTTTTGACCTAACAACAGGGCCAGGTCAAAGGGCATGTACTGTTCAGTAACTTTTTGTGTATAATTCCAAACCACTTTTCAAAATGTTTGTATTCACAAACAGGTCCTATTTTCCCACAACCCTTCCAACACTGATCATTTTCTGTTTTGTCACTCTGATGGGTGTGAGAAGGAATCTCAGAATTGATTTAATTTGCATTTCTCTAATTAGTAGTGATTTGGAACATTTTTTCATATGGCTGTAGATAGCCTGGGTTTCTTCCTGTAAGAACTGCCTGTTCATATCCTTAAACCATTTATCAGCCAGGGAATGGCTCTTATTTTTATAAATGTGAATCAGTTTCTTATGTAATCTTGGAAATGAGACCATGTTCAGAGAAACTTGCTGTAAATATTTTTTTCCCAATTAATTGTTTCTCTTTTCATCTTAGCTACATTGGATTTTTTTTTTCTGTAAAAACTTTTGTTTTACCCAAGTTATCTGCTTTATCTTCTGTTATCTTCTCTCTCCCTTGTTTGGTTGTGATTTTTTCTTCTCTCCATAGTTCTTGTAGGAATTATTCCCCATGTTTTTCTCTGGATAGCTCTAGGCTAGACCACTCCCTTAAGAAACAAATGTGGGTCCAGTGAAGTCTGAAGCATCCTAGAGCCTTATAATGGGCCATTTCCTTCCCTGTGGTTCAGGAGAGGTTGCTCCAGGGTACCTTTCAGGTAACTTACTAGAAGCACTTTAGCTGTGGATGCTCTATGGCTTAAATTACCAGGGATATTGTCCTTTGTACATACCTACTGTGGTATAGTGAAAAATATGCTGGACTAAAAGAGGGGTGGAAGGTAGGGAGGAGGAAGAACTGAGTTAGATGTCAGAAGACTTGCCTTTACTAGCCCCGTGACCCTGGACAAGTCACTTAAGGTGTCAGGGGGGGTGCATCTCCAGTTGTCCTGATCTTGCCGCTGGACCCAGATGGTTCCAGAGGAGAAAGTAAGGCTAGTGACTTTTCACTTTGCTGCCTCACTTAAATCCAATTCACTTTCAAGTCATGGCATCACCTTCCTGATGTCACGGTCCTCTTCCAGAACAAAGGACAGACAACAGCAGCAACAAAACAAGGGCCTTGGTCAAAAGGCCAGAACCTCCAGGAGCATTCTTGCTCCCTGGCCCTCAGCCCCTGGGCTTAACCTGGGGAAAATGTACATTTAGAAGAACTCCCCTCCCTCCCTCCCTGCCTTACCTTCCCTCACTCCAAAGAAGTCTTTGGAGATTGGGATAAGTGATCTGAAAGATCCTACAGACTCTAACTTCTGTGATCTTGAGATCTATGCAGCAGTTCTCTCCCCCCAAAACCCCAATGCCCTGGGCCACAGCCTATAATCTCATCTCCCATGATGGGGAAAGGGGTCAGTTACATATTACCTAGCCCCAAACCCCTGAGGGCTGACTCAGCAGCTGAGGTGGGGCTGTTAAAACTGGGAGAAGGCTCCTTGCTTATCTTCTTTTAAAAATCACCTTTCCTTTGAGATCTCTGCCCAGGACCTTCTCATTTCCAGAGGGAGATAGAAACACACCAAGAGCACCTGAATAGCTGAATATGATGGTAAGAAATTTCCCATGATGGAATTGGCATAAGTCAGTTGCAGAGGTCTGGCTTAAGTCTGGGACCCTCTAGAGACTGGGATAAGTGGAGTCAAGGGTGCTGGGCACTAGGATTATGGGCAGGGGACCCATTCAAAGGCCTGAGAACTTGTTATTTATGCATGTACTGGAATTTTTAGGCAGTGCATTTAGAACACAAGGATGGGATGCCTTCACGGGCACTGTGATTTCTGATAAGGTGCTAGACCCCAGTAGTAATAATAATGGATCTGTGATTTCATTGGTATGGGGAACTGCCTGATCAAGAAACTTACCCTACAAATAATGCAGGTCAGCACCTTCTCAGTCTCTTAAAGAGGTGTCTGGAGCATCAGTGTCAAACTCAAATAGAACCCTGGTCACTAAACTTACTGAAAGATCCCTGCTGGCTGCATATTGGCTTAGAAAACTACATATTAACATTATCTACTTTCTACTGAAGTCTTTTTATGTTGTCAAATATCTCCCAAGGCCTTCTGGTCTAGGGCACTAAGGGGTTAGTGACTTACCCAGGGTCACACAGCCTGTATGCTTCAGTGTTGAGACTTGAATCCAGGTCTTTCTGGACCTGAGGCCAGCTCTCTATCCTCAGTCTCTTAATGATCATAGCTAAATTGTGCTTTAAGGTTTGCAAAGTACTTGAGTATCCTATCACGTTTGATACAAGGTTTGCTTTCATTTGATCAGGGAGGCAGCACAATACAGTGGGATGAGCATTAACTCTGGAATCAGAGATTGTATTTGTTTTCGATCTTTTTTCAGTCTTGTCTAACTCTTCATGACCCTATTTGGGGTTTTCTTGGCAAAGATAGTGGTGTTGTTTGTTATTTCCTACTCCAGCTTATTTTACAGATGAGGAAACTCAGGCAAATAGGAGTAAATGACTTGCCTAGGGTCACATAGCTAGTAAGCGTCTTAGGCTGAATTTTGACTCAGGAAGATGAGTCTTCCTGACTCCAGGCCTAGCATTTATCCAGTGCACCACCTAGCTTCTCTGGAATCCAGAGGACACTGGTTCAAATCCTGCCGCTGATACTAACTACCTGTTATCTTCCAAACTCCACTACAATCTTCCCAAATCCATGCTTTTCTTTTCTCACTTTTTGTCAATTACAACCTTAATGTGTTCTGTTCTCCCTTCCTACTCATGAGCTCTGTCAGAAGATACTTTCCCAGCTTCCTGATAATGGGGAACCCACAGACAACCCTCTGGTCAGTTCTAGGTCCTCCCTAATCCAACTGTCATCAGGCAGAGCTGACTTTGGGGAGCCATCATTCAGAAAGCCCTAACCTGACCTAGAAAGGGCTTTATATTTGGCTTTCAAAAGAGAGTCCCTATGAGGGTATAGGAAATCTTTGTCCTCTTCCAGTTGGTTGCTGACTTGGGTAAAATGTCTCCTCTGCCTCTGTTTTGTGGTATAGTGGAGAGAGAGCTACATTTGGGGTCAGGATCTGGGTTCAAATCCTGCCTGTTACTACCTCTGTGACATTAGGCAACTGGTCCTTGATTTTTTCACCTGGTGAATGAAGAGGTTGGACCAAATAACATTTGAGGTCCCTTCCAGCTCTCAATTTATAATCCTAGGCAGTGTAAAATGGAAACAACCTTCCTCTACCCTTGCCCATCTGCCAGGGCAGGGTTGGGAAGCAGAGGGGGTGGGGGTGGACTGGGTTGGGATCAGCTCTGGAAAGCAAAGGGGGTTTCTTGGAGAGTTTGAGGTCCCATCATCTAAGCAGTTGTTCATTTCGTTTTATTCACAACTCAGGTGCATGGACATAAAGGATTCAAGTTCCGGAACTGGGCGAAGACCTATGGTTGCCACCCAGAGATGTACTTTCAGCCCACATGTGTGGAAGAGGTCAAACAGGTGAGTAGATTGCCACCAATAGGAAGCCTATCCCATGTCTCCCTCAGGGACCACCCACAGCTCTGTCTGGCTCCATCCATAGAGAAGCAGCATGGTACAATGGAAGGAATGCTGGCCCTGGGTTCCAATCCTGCATCTGGCACTTGCTACCAATATGACCTTGGACAAGTCACTTATTCTACCTGAGACTTAATTTCCTCTTCTGCAAAATGAAGGAGTTGGAATAAAATGCCTCTGGTCTCCTTTTCAAACCTATCTCTATCAGAGTACGAGCCATGACAATTTCTCCTTATAGCAGAGACCCAGGAGATTGTCTTTCCTGGACTCAGAAAGGCCCCAAATTTCACAACAAGCCATCGGTGGAAAAGAGCTAGCTAAACTCACTCTCTGAGCCATGATGGCTAACTATATTTCTTCCTGCCTGAATATGCAAAGGTGGAGAATTTCCTTTATGGGAATGCTATAACTCAAGACTGTAGGTGACCCTCTAAGTCGAAGTAAGGTCGGTTCTGCTATAAGCTTGTTTTGAAAACATGAATTTGTTCCAATTCAATTGATATATTAGAGAACAATTTGAGCATAACATGAATTTTGAGTTTGTTCATGCTCAATTTCTTTCTCAAGAAACAGAAAAAAAACAACTGCCCAGCTGAACAGAACCTTGTAGGAGTATTCCAAAGTCATACATCTCAAACATTTACCAGCTACCTCAGTTCCTTTCATGTGTTATTCTACAAGGTTGGGTTTTGCTCTTCTTTTACGTTTGTGAAGTTTTCTATATACAACAAAATTCATTCAACATCCTAAACATGTCTAAGTGCCATATTAATTGTATCTTCTGGTACAGGTAGAGGTATAGGCAGAGAAGGATTGGTCCCTATCCATATAATCTATTCCCTATCCCTACCCCAGTCCCAGAATCTCCCAGACAGAGCAGCAGCCTGTCACTGTTTATTATCATATTTATGTACTTCTTTTTTGTTTGTTTGGTTGGTTTTTTGCTAGGCAATGGGGTTAAGTGACTTGCCCAGGGTCACACAGTTAGCAAGTGTCAAATCTCTGAGGCACATTTGAACTCAGGTCCTCCTGACTCCAGGGCCAGTGCTCTATCTGCTGTGTCACCTAGCTGCGCCCCCCTCCCATATTTATGTATTTCTTAACCACTTCACCTGTATAAAACTGTGCTACCCTTTTTCTTACTTTTCTATCATTTTTTAGTGGGCAACTGATGAAATTTCTGAGTGTTTGTACCCCAACCTAATTTTTCCCATAAGCCTTGTGTTTTAATTGCTTGATTTTGCATAGACCAATGATCTTTAGGAATGCATATATCAAGTTATGGCAGAACTGACCATAGTTAAGGCCAAGGGGCTCGCCATTCTCAGTCACAAAACTAACAGTGTCAGAGGAAGGATTGGAAGCCCAGCACCTACCCATTAAGCCGTACTGCTTTTATTTCTTTCCAACCCTACTCCATCTCTTCCCCACCCCTAGATACTTCCCTACTTCTTTCTTTCCTCTCTCTAGATTTAGCCCTCTTTTGACTTCCCTCACTCCTCTCTTTCATCATGTCCTTCTGAGAGGAAGCTTACTACTAGCATGACGCTTTCTTGACTTTTAGCCACAGTTTCTTCCTAGTAGAGGTCCCTCTCTTTACAGAGGTAAGGAACTATGAAGGTGGCTAGCCATGTTGGGTTGTTTTGGAGTCTGGGTCAGGTAGTTTTGCTGAACTGCCCTTTGATCTTTCTTTTTTTACTCTTTATTATAAGGGATGGCTCTCTGGGTTGGGGAGGGTACCTGTATGGGGAAATGAAAGCTGTGTAAAAACAAAAAAATACAGATAACATTTTTTAAAAGACTCTTAGTTAATGGGAATGGACTGGATTCACTTTTCATATGTTGGCGTGCAACATTGTTCTTATCCTGGTTTTCTGAATGTTGGGAAATGTAGAAAGAGATACTAGTAAGAGAGGGAAGGAAGGAAGGAAGGAAGGAAGGAAGGAAGGAAGGAAGGAAGGAAGGAAGGAGAGAAGGAAGGAGGTAGGAAGGGAGAGAGGAAGGGAGTAAAGGAAAGAAGAAAGAAAGAGAAGAAAGAAGGGAAGGAGGAAGGAAGGGAGCAAAGTGGGAGGGAGGAAGAAAAAGGAAGGAGGTATGAAAGGAAGGGAGAAAGGGAAAAAGGAAAGGAAGTATGAAAGGAAGGAGGGAGGGAGTAAAGGGAGAAAGAAAGAAAGAAAGAAAAAGAAAGAAAGGAGGGAGGGAGGGAAGGAGGAAGAAAAGGAAGGGAGAAAGGAAAGAAGGCAAAAAGGAAGGAAGAAAGGGAAAGGGGAGGGAGGGAGAGAAGATCCCAAGCCTACTCTTGATGTCTCTACAGGTGTTGGACCTAGCCAGGCAGCAAAACAAACGTGTGAAGGCAACTGGGGGAGGCCATTCACCCTCAGATATTGCCTGCACTGATGGCTTCATGATCCATATGGGGAAGATGAACCGAATCCTCAAGGTAACCCCATAAACCAATAGATTTCCAAACTTCTGAGACTCCCAGAGTCTGACATCCCAAGGGCTTGATGCTGAGATCAGACTACTATCACTATCACTGTGGGGATGCTGTTACACTCTTAAGTTGATGTCTCTAAGCTTTCTCACAGTGAGAGTGGTTGCAAGGTCCTCTCTTATTCTGACCTCCTGCATTCTTTGCTGGAAAAAAAAGGGCCTCAGTTTAGAAGCAGAGTCTTAGAATGGTCTCTTCCCACTACACTATAGACCCCATGGAGGGTCCTTTTTTTTTTTTTTGCAAATGTTTATTTATTTATTTATTTTTAGTTTTCAACATTCACTTCCACAAGTTTTTGAGTTCCAAATTTTCACCCCATCTCCCCCTCCCCCCACCCCAAGATGGCATGCATTCTGAATATCCCTTCCCCTAGTGTGTCCTCTCTTCTATCTCTCTCCCCTTCTCTTATCCCCTTCCCCTTCTATTTTCCCGTAGGGCAGGATAGACATCTGTACCCCATTTCCTGTATTTCTTATTTCCCGATAGCATGTGAAAACATTTTGTTTTAAACATATGTTTTTAAAACTTTAGGTTTCAAATTTTCTCTCTTCCTCCCTCCCCACCTTCATTGAAAAGGCAAGCAACTCAATATAGGTTGTACATGTGCAGTTATGCAAAACACTTTCACAGTAGACATGTTGTGAAAAACTAACTCTATTTCCCTTAATCCTATCCTGCCCTCCCATTTATTCTATTCTTTTTTTTGACCCTGTCCCTCAGAAGTATTTACTTCTGATTACCCCTTTCCCAATCTGCCCTCCTCTATATCATCCCCCTGCTCTCTTGTCCCCTTCTCCCCCTATTTTCCTGTAGGGTAAGACAGATTTCCATACCCAATTGAATGTGTATGTTATTCCCTTGTTAAGCCAAATCCTATGAGAATAAGGTTCACTCATTCCCTCTCACCTTCCCCCATTTCCCCTCCACTGTAAGAGACTTTTCTGTTGTTTTTTTTTGTGAGATAATTTACCCCATTCTACCTCTCCCTTTCTTCTTCTCCGAGTATCATCCTCTCTCATCCCTTAATTTTATTCTCCAGATATGACCCCTTAATCTTCAACTCACCCTGTGCCCTCTATCTATCTCATATACATACATATAATTTTTTCCTCCAACTACCCTAATACTGACAAAGGTCTCATGAGTTATAAATATCATCTTTCCATGCAGGAATGTAAACAGTTCAATCTTAATAAGTCTCTTATGATTTCTCTTTCCTGTTTACCTCTTCATGTTCCACTTGAGTCCTGTATTTGAAAGTCAAATTTTCTATTCAGCTCTGGTCTTTTCATCAGAATGCTTGAAAGTCCTCTATTTCACTGAATGACCATTTTTTCCCCTGAAGGATTATACTCAGTTTTGCTGGGTAGGTGATTCTTGGTTGTAATCCTATCTCCTTTGCCCTCCGGAATATTATATTCCATGCCCTGCGGTCCTTTAATGTAGAAGCTGCTAAATCTTGTGTTATCCTGATTGTGTTTCCACAGTACTTGAATTGTTTCCTTCTGGCAGCTTGTAATATTTTCTCCTTGACCTGGGAACTCTGGAATTTGGAATATTCCTAGGAGATCTCTTTCAGGAGGAGATCTGTGGATTCTTTCAATTTCTATTTTGCCCTCTGGTTCTACTATATCAGGGCAGTTTTCCTTGATAATTTCTTGAAAGATGATGTCTAGGCTCTTTTTTGATCATGGCTTTCAGATAGTCCAATAATTTTTAAATTCTCTCTCCTGGATCTATTTTCCAGGTCAGTTGTTTTTTCCAATGAGATATTTCACATTGTTTTCTAATTTTTCATTCTTTTGGATTTGTTCTACTGTGTCTTGATTTCTCATAAAGTCACTATCTTCCAATTGCTCTATTCTAATTTTTAAGGAAATTTTCTTCAGTAATTTTGGACTTCCTTTTCCATTTGGCCAATTTTTCTTTTTAGGGCATTTTTCTCCTCATTGGTTTTTTGGACCTCTTTTGCCATTTGGGTTAGGCTATTTTTTAAGGTGTTATTTTCTTCAGTATTTTTTGGGTCTCCTTTAGCAAGCTGTTGACTTGTTTTTCATGATTTTCTTGCATCACTCTCAGTTTTTCCTCTACTTCCCTTACTTGCTTCTCAAAATCCCTTTTGAGCTCTTCCAAGGCCTGGGACTGATTCATATTTTTCTTGGAGGCTTTGGATGTAGGAGCTTTGATTTTGTTGTCTTCTTCTGGTTGTATATTTTGATCTTCTTTTTCACCAAAGTAAGATAATATAGTCTGACTCTTTTTGCGCTGCTTGCTCATGATCCCGGCCAATTACTTGAGTTTTAAACTCTTTGTTAAGGTAAGAGTCTGCTTCCAATGTGGAGAGTGTACTGTCCCAAGCTTCAGGGGTTTGTGTAGCTGTTTTCAGAGATACTTGTAGGGACCTGTAAATTTTCAGTTCTTCCAAGGTGGTATGATAAGGGGCCAGGTGTTTACTCCTTTCCTGGCCTGTGACTACAAGTACTCCTTTCTGTCCTGTAAGTGTGAGGAGGGGTTTCTCTCCACAGCCACTACAAGCTCCACCATGCGAGCTCTCCTCCTCACCCCAGCACCCCTGCCCAGAACAGTGACCCAGATCCAAACAGGGGCAAAGCAAGAGATTCCTGCCTCAGCACTGGCAAAGAGATCCCTGCAATCCCTCTCTGATCAGCCACTGGATTCCCCCTCAGTCTGTGGGCCGGAAGCTCGGGAAGCAGTCCCCCCCCCCCCATCGCCCTGCCATGCTCTTGGGGAATGGAGCTGAAACCCCGCCTTACTTTCTCAGCACAGACAGAAACAAACTTTTCCCACTGACCTTCTAAGTTGAGGAGTCTGGAAACCTCCACAGCTGCCCGTGATTCAGTCCTCTGAGGCCTGCTCCAGGTTTGCTGTGGCCTGCGTGCCCACACCGTGCTGCGCTGGGCTCCCAGCCTGGCGTGATACACCTTTCTGATCAATCATCCAGGTTGTATTGGGCTGGAAATTTGTTTCACTCTGTCTTTTTTGTCGGTTCTGCTGCTTCAGAATTTGTTTAGAACCATTTTTTTATGAGTATTTGGAGGGGTTTGGAAGAGAGCTCAAGGAAGTCACTGCTTTCACTCCGCCACTTTGGCTCCGCCCCCCCAATGGAGGGTTCTTAAAAAGACCTTCTGGTTGTAATTTTTTGCAGAGCTAGCCTCTCACTAGTTCTCTTAAACCAGATGCACACTTCCTTATCAGCCTCTAGGAAAGGATGCTGGATTTGGAGTCAGGGGACCTGGGTCCTCATTCCAGCTCTGCTTCTTACCTGTGTGTCATTCATCAATCAACTAGAGTCAGCCTTTATTTTTACCACTTACTATGTGCCAGGCACTGGCTAAGTGCTGAGGATACAAAGGAAGGCAAAAGATGGTTCCTGCTCTCTAGAAGCTTACAGTCCAACAAACAAGCTATTTACAGAATAAATGGGACATATCAACAGAGGGAAGATCCTGGTGTTGAGGGGGATCAGGAAAGGGCCCTACCTTCAGGAGCCAGGAGGTAGAGTTGAGTCAGGAGAGAGTCCCAGGAAGAGGGAACAGCCGGTGAAAATGCTCAGAGTCAGGAGAGAGAGCACTGCTTTCAAGGAACAGCCGGGAGGTCAGTGTTACTAGATTGAAGAGTATGAAAGAAGGGAATAAGGTATAGGAGTCCCTGAGCAAGCCAATCCCCTTCTTTAAGCCTCAGTTTCCTCATCTGTAAAATAAGAAGGTTCTGAGGATGACCTTGAAGGTCCTATTCTCATCTAAATCCTTCGGTTACCATCCAGGCCCATTGGTGTTAGCCTCTTCCTGAAAATTCCATCAAGAAATCAGCTGTGGTAGTAATTAAGAGTGACTAAATTAGCAGAATTATACTAATTGATTTCCCTAAAGTATCTGCTGGAGCAACCAGTCACCCTTTTTTTCTGTCCAGCTTTTCTCCTGCTGCTTCATTAATTAACAACTCAGTCTAGTTTGGAAGAAGGCAAAGGGAGTTCAGAGTTCTAGTGAGACGGAGGACCCTCTGCAGCTGTAGAGTCCCACTGGGTCAGTGACCTGACAGCTGCCCAAAGAAACCTGGACATGCAGAGTAATGGGTACCATTACCTGGACATGCCTGTGCAATGAGCCCTGCTTGGGCGGGGAGTCAGAAGCCCTATCCCCAACATTAACTATGGGCATGCTGCTTAACTGCTCCAGGCCTCTGTTCCCAAATCATATGATCTCCTGGGTCACTTCTTTCTCTCTAGTCCTTTTCTAAACCTCTCCACTTAGTTTTCTGGGGGAGAAGTTCAGTTAGGCTGGGGGCATTCCCACCACAAATGCAGCCTGTATCAGAGAAGTATCATACGATCACTGAGATAGAGCCAGAAGACACCTTGGAGGACATCAAAATGAGACTCCAACCCTCTCGTTTTATAGATGAGGAAATTGAAACATTTAGAGGTTAAGTGACTTAACTAGCGTCACAAACCTAGTAAGTATAAAGCAGGATTTGAATTCAGGTCTTCTTGACTCCAAACCTGGTCCTCTCTGCACTATGACAACCCACTGCTTTTACCTTCTAGGCAAAAGGATAGCTCAATTTACCATGACTGGCAAGGGCTTCTCTGCAGGGTAGAGTCACTCTTCAGCCCAGCTCTGCTCCTTTGCAGGTAGACAAGGAAAAGTGTCAAGTCACGGTGGAAGCTGGCATCCTCCTGATGGACTTGAATGTGGAGCTGAGGAAGCACGGCCTGGCACTTGCCAAGTAAGCAAGACCATCCTATCTTAGTGGTGACTTCTTGCCTCGAGAGGAGGGACTGATTTCCTGGTTCTCTCTTATCACCAAGTCATAGCATCATAGACTTTAGAGTTGGAAGGGATCTTAGAGGTCATGAACTCCAATCCTTTCATTTTACAGATGAGGAAACTGAGGCCCAGAGAGGACAGAACTCGAGGGCAGGATCTGTTTCTCTTTTATCTTTGCTTGACAGGGCCTGGTAGGCTCTTGTTTGATTGCCCAAGGTCACACAGAGAAATGAGTGACACAGCTGGGATCAGAACCCAGATCCTCTGACTTTGGGGCAGCTAAGTGTTGCTATAGTGCACAGAGAGCCAGGCCTGGCATCAGGAAGATGCATCTTCATGAGTTCAAACCTGGCCTCAGACACTTACTAGCTGTGTGACCCTGGGCAAGTCACTTAGCCCTGTATGCCTCAGTTTCCTTATCTGTAAAATGAGCTGGAGAAGGAAATGGCAAACTACGCCAGTATCTTTGCCAAGAAAACCCCAAATGGCATCACAAAGAGTCAGAAATGACTGAACCACAAAAACCTCTGACTCTGAACTCTAGCTTATTCTCTTCACTCCTGCCAAGCTGTCCAGTTGGACACTTGGATTTCTGGAAAGAGCAAAGGAGAGCTTCTACTAGAGTCATCCTCATCATGGCAGGGAGGATGACCTTGGGACCTCAAAGGTTATGCCAGCAGAGCTTAAGCATGGAGGTTCCTACTGAACCTGTTAAGGCTTTGAATTTGGACCTCAGGACTCACAAGGTTTGTGTTCTGAGGACCAGAAGGCTAGTGACAATGATGGGATTTGACCACAGCAGCCCGTGAAGACTATTATCAAAGGCACAGAAGGACGGCTGTATTTCAGCATCCTATAGGAGAAGGTGATAACAAGAACTCATCTGTACCTGGTGCTTTAAGGGTTATAAAGAGTTCTCCTCACAATGGTCCTATTAAGTAGGAAGTAGTGGAAGTATTAGCATCTCCACTTTACAGATGAGGAAACTGAGGCTCAGAGAGGGTTGTAGGATCATAAGATCATTGATACAGAACTGGAAAGTACCTCAGAGCTGGTCCAACCTCCTCATTTACACAGAAGGAGCCAAGTCTCAGAAGGAGACCTGCTCAAGGTCACACAGTTAGTAACTGGGCTTTGAACCCAGATTTTCTGTGACTCCAAATCTGGCACATTTTCCAGCTTATGTAACTTTCCCATAGTTACATAGCTAGACAGTGTGGTACAGAGTCCCAAGACCTGACTCAGACCTCAGCCTTGCTACTTGGGTGACCCTGAGCCTTGATTTCCTCATGTGTAAAATGAGAGAGTTAGAATGGATGACCTTAAGATCACTTTCAGCTATAGATCCACAGCCCTGTAAGTTGCAGAACGAAGATACAAACACAGCATCTTCTCCCTGCTCCCTTTGCAAGCCACCCACACTGATGACATCTCAGCTCTTTTGAAATACTGGCATATAAACAAGCAAGTCACGTGCTCTGCCTGAAAGAGCCTAGGAAAAGATGACATTTTAACCCATGAAGGCAGAGATGGTAAGGCTTTTGGCTCTCCCAGGGCATTGGCATTTTGATGGGGACCAAAATTAAGCCAAAGGAATGAATCTATTTGTGGGATTTTAGGTGCCAGTTTGGAGAGTTATTTTCGTTCTATAGCCCTGCAAACATACTGTATTGATAGCTATCGGTTCTATCGAAGGCTCAAGGTCAGGACTTTAGGTCTCTGCTCACTGGCTCTCAGTAATCATTAACACCCCAAGGATGTGGCCCCCAAACAGCGAGGGAGGGGTTGCCTGCTGAGTTCTTCTGGTCTCGGTAGAAGCTTTTCACACCAGTGTCTGTGACCAATGAGGACAGGAAGACATTTGTTCTTATTAATTATGAGCACTAATTTCTGGAGTATTAGAATTTCTCTCACCCTGTTCATGATAAGAATGTGGTCATGGTCTCTATCCCAGGGGAGTACACAGTCCCTGCCATATTCTTAAAAACAGATTTGTTCCAGTCCAGTGGGCTCCACTTCCCTTTCTGCAGGCAGCTCAGGAGTGAGGAAAGGAGTTAATGAGAGGAGCACGAGTTCTGTGTTGAAACCCTACTTCCTATACTCACCAGCTCTGTGACTTTGGGAAAGTCACTTAACCTCCCTAAGTTTTAGTTATCCTAATCTGCAAAATGGAAATAGTAGTATCTACTTCTGAAGGATATTAATAAGAGCAAAAATTAATATAGCTCCTACTATGTGCTAGGCACTTTTAGAAATATTATTTTATTTGATCCCCATAACCCTGGTGGGGGAGTAGGTTACTATTATGCTCATTTTACAGATGAGGAAACTGAGGTTGAGTGTCTTGGCCAGGGTCACACAGCTGTTAAGTTACTGAGGCCACATTTGAACTCAGGTCTTTCTCACTCCAGGCCTAGGGCTCTACCCACTGTTCCACTAGCTGTCTGAAGGGTAGTTGTGAAGATTGAATAAGGTAAAGTATGCAGAGTATATTGTAACCTTAAGGAGTGTGTGTGTGTGTGTGTGTGTGTGTGTATGTATGTATATACACACACATATATGTATATACATATATATATATAAATAATATCAATAAATAATAAGCAATTAAGTGGTGTCAGGAAAACTTATCTTTCTGAGTTCAAATCTGGCCTCAGACTTACTAGCCGTATGACCCTGGGCAAGTCACTAGACCCTGTTTGCCTCAGTTTCCTCATCTGTAAAATGAGCTGGAGAAGGAAATATCAAACCACTCTAGAATCTTTGCCAAGAAAACCCCAAAAGGGGTCACAAAGAGTCAGATATGACTGAAAACCACTGAACAACAAAACGAATAAATAATAGAAACATATTTACATAATAAATATATAACAAAATATAATAATTTATATAATAAATATATAATAAACACATATTTATATAATAGGAAATAAAAATTAAATTTATATCATTTTAAAAATAAATAATTATTATAAAATAAATAATAATGTGTTTATGTAATAAATAAAATAAACAATAAAATAACTATAGTTTACATAATAACATAAAGAATTGTCAATAATTATTAATCAAGGAAAGCTAGAATTTTCTCCCATTCCATCTCCTGGGGACTATGAAGGAGGGCCATCTCGCTCATGCTTCCCCTGCCGAGCTTGAGTGTCTCATTATGTTATTTGGTATCTGAACTCAGGGCAACTCAGGTTCCTGACTCTGCCAATGTCTTTCTCCTCCCTTCCCCTCCCTTAGAACAGATGATAGTGAGTTTTAAAAAACTGGATAACTGTGTCAATATTATTGGTTTCCTTTATAAATCTGTGTATTTTATTTTATGCATTTAAAACCATTCTTCTGAGATGAGGTCCCTAGGCCGTTTCACCAGATTGCTGAAGGGGTGAGAGACACACAAAAGGGTTAAGAACCTTTGCTTCAGAATCCCCCCATTTTGAGCTCCAAGAGCCCTTCAACCTCATTTCTTCCAACCTTCTAGTTGTACAGTGGATTGAAGTGACTTAGCCAAGAAAGTCAGTGCCCGTGAGCAGGGCCAGGAGCCCTGGGGCCATCCAGTCTAACCCTATCACTTTATGGATGAGGAAACCAGAGCCCAAAGATAGCGTCCAAGGTCACAGAGGTAGTACAAAGCAAAGTGCCACTTTCATAATCCATCAGTGAGTATTTGCCAAAGGTCTATTGTGGGCAAAGAATTATGTGGGGAAGGAGGGCAAAGAAAGCAGCTATCAGTCCATCAGGTGCAAAGATTCTAGGTGCCAACGTGTCACCGCTGCCCGGTAAGCTCTCGGGCCTCCCTGGTGCTGATCTTGCTCTATGGTGTTTAAAGTCTTTTTCAGCCTGACTCCAGTCTGTATTTCCAGCTTTATCATTGACTACTCACTCTGCTGTCCCACCAGATCGGTCTTCCTGCTGCTCAGCACACATCTCCCATCTTGGTGCCCGGAATGCTCTCCATCCTTTGTTGTTGTTCAGTCATGCCCGACCCTTCATGACCCCATGGACCATGTTGTCCTCAGGGTTCTCTTGACAGAGATACTAGAGTGGTTTGCCATTTCCTTCTTCAGTGGGTTAAGGCAAACTGAGGCTAAATGATTTGTCTGGGGTCACGCAGCTGGTAAGAGTCTGAGGCTAAATTTAAAATCAGCTCTTCTTGACTCCAGGCCCAGCGCTCTCTCTACTGTGCCACCTAGCTACCTCTGAGGCAAACAGAGGTTAAGTGACTTGCCCAAGGTCACCCAGCTAGTAATTGACTGGTGCTGGATTTGAATTGAGGTCTTCCTGCTTCTCCAAACTCAGCCCAAGCACTGCCTTTTACTGGATGCCCTTCCTGATTTTCCCCCAGTTGCTAATGCCTCCCCCCCCAATATTACCTTTTATTTACCTTGTCCATAATGATATATGTACATGTTGTCTCCCCCAGTAGAATGTAAGCTCTTTGAGGGCAGGGACTTTTATCTCTGTATCCCCAGAGCCTAGCCCAATGCCTGACACAAAGTAATTGCTTAAAAAAATGCTTGTTGACTGATCACAGGATTTACAGCTGGAAAGGACCTAGCTGGAAAGGACCTATCTAGTCCAACCTCATCCCCTCTTAATTAAAGAAGACATTGATACCTAGGGACATGAAGTGATTTATGTGATGTCATCAGGTAACAAATAAGAAGGAGAGTCAGGATTTGAACCCATCTTCTGACTCCAAATCTAGGGCTTTTCTCACTCTACCATATTACCTATGTTAGAACTCCTGTCCCAAGATTTGAACCCTGACCTCCCCAAGGCTTGGGATAAACATGTCACTTTAAAAGGAGAACCAGCATGTTAGAATTGGAAGGGAAGAGGATAAAACACAGTAGCCAGGCTGAGACTTGAGTTCAGTATTCCGGCCTAGGTCTGCACACTCATGTCCGACTGTTTCATGGAAAAGTAATCTGTCCTCCAAAGGAAAATTAACAGCTTCTGCACTTTCTCTTTTTCCACCTCCTTGTCTGGTGGGCACAGCTTGGGAGCCGTGTCAGATGTCACTGCTGCTGGTGTGATTGGGACGGGGACCCACAACACGGGAATCAAGCATGGCATTTTGTCGACTCAGGTGAGAATGGAGTTCCATGCCAGTATCGCATACTAACAGCAGGTAATTCACAAAATCATGGGCTCAGGGAGAAGACTGAAAGTGGGGAAGGATCCATTCTTGTTTCCAGGAGAGGCACTCTTCCTAGGAGAGGGGAGAGCTCTGGGGTCAGGTGCAAAGTTTCAGTTCCTTGGCTGAAATCTGTCAAGAATTAAGGCTGCCACCCTGAGACAGGGTTTACTAAGGAGCCTTTATCCTTCCTAAGATGGCCATTTGCTATGAGACTTCAAGGAGATGAAATTAATCCTCACTGATCTTTTGGCTTGGCATTGAAAGCCCTTCATGACCTAGCCCCCTCCTGCCTTTCCAGTTTTCTTACATCTTGTTCTCCCTATGTATACCAATCCATTGACAGTGGCCTCCTTGCTTTCCCTCAAACAAACATTCCATCTCTTGGCTCCAGGCATTGTCTCTGACTGTCTCCCATACCTGGAGCACTCTCCCACTACCTCTGCCTCCTGGCTTTCCTGGCTTCCTTTATGTCCCAACTACAATCCCATTTTCTACAGGAAGCCTTTCTCAACCCTTCTTAATTCTAGTGTCTTTCCTCTATTAATTATTTCCTATTTATCCCCATACATAACTTGATTGTATATAAGTGTTTGCTGGTTGTCTCCCCTATTGGACTGTGAGCTCCTTGAGGGCAGGGACTATCTTTTTGTATCTCAAGCATTAAGCACAGTGCCTGGCACATAGTAGGTGCTTTTGTTAAGTTGTTTCAGTCGTGTCTGACTCTTTGTGACCCCATTTGGGGTTTTCTGGGCAAAGATGCTGGAGTGGTCTTCCATTTCCTTCTCCAGTTCTTTCAACAGATGAGGAAACTGAGGCAAGCAGGGTTAAAATTTGAACTTAGGAAGAGGAGTCTTCCTCACTCCAGGCCTGGTACTCTATTTGCTACACTACCTGGTTGCCTGTAGGTGCTTAATAAATGTTTATTGATTAACTGACTGACGAGAGAGTTATATTTTGGGCATGAGGGACAGTCTGGGAGTTAGAAGACTGTGTGTATGGGCTCCTTGTAGAATAGTTATGTGGCTTGGTGGATAGAGTGCTGAGCCTGGAGTCAGAAAGACCTGAGGTCAAATCTAGCCTCAGACACTAGCTATGTTATCCCAGGCAAATCACTTAACCCTGTTTGCCTCAGTTTCCTCATCAGTAAAAATGAGCTGAAGAAGGAAATGGCAGACTGCACCAGTATCTTTACTAAGAAAACCCCAAATGGGGCCACAAAGAGTTGACCATGACTGAACAACCTGTTAAAACAAACAACCTGACTCCAAGTCCAATACTGTATCCACTGTATCCCTTAGCTGCCTCATAGTCTGAAGTTCAGTTGGGTTCCTGAACCCCAGAGCTAGAATGGGACACCACAATTCATTCGTTTACTATGTGAAATCTTACCTTTTTAAAAAAGCTTTTTCTGGATCCTTCCTACACCCAGATGGTGAGAGGCCTTATTCTACCCCACAAGCTTGGACTATGATTAATCAGAAATTAGTTCAGCATTATCTGTTCTTTCACCCTGAGCACAACGGCACCAGCCGTACTTGTCAAAAGCAATTTTCCTCCAAATCAGCAGGTAACAAAGTATGGAGGAACATTTGAAGGGGGGAACAAGATAGAGTTTTAATTTGGAAATGAAGGCCAAAGGGGAAGTTATGGTTAATTTCCCAAGTGCCACCTGCTGTCCTGGGCTCTCTGCCTTTTCCCTAAAACAAAAGGAAGCTGAAAAATGAGTGGAGCTGAGCATGGATTTTCCAGCCCGTCATGACATGGGATCACCATCATAATAATTAATATTACTTAAGATCACAAATTTAGAACTAGAAGGGATCTTGGAGCCCATCGAGGCCAACCTTGTTATTTGACAGATGAGGAAACTGAGGCTCAGAAAGATGAAGGGACTTGCTCTAGGTCACAGAGGTAGTAGGTGTAAGAGGTGGGATAATAACACATAGCTCAGAGATCCTTTGTCCAAACCTCCCTCCCATTTTACATATAAGGAAACTGATGCCCAGGGAGATAATTTGCCAAGGTCCCAGAGGAAGTAAGTATCTGAGGCTGGATTTGAACCCAGGTCCTCCAATTCCAGATTCAATGTTTTTTATAATGCACTTCCTCTTCATTTTACAAAATTAACCTTCATGATTTCATTTAATCCTCATAACAGTCTTTGTGAAGCAGGTGTTAAGACTGGAGGTCGTCTGATCCAAATCTCTTTTAATATATTTATTTTTTGTCGTGCTGAAAAAAGTTCAAATGTTTTTTCTCCTTTTTTTAGGTTTGGCTTAAAAATTGTTTGTTTTTTTTAAATGAACACAAATCCACTTTCTTTTCCTCCCTCCTCTCCTCCCACTCTCTTTGAAAAAGAAAGAAAAACAAAACCTTTATAATAATTTTTACAGATGAGGAAACCCTGAGACTCAGAGAGGTCAGGTGACAATTCTTCATGACCCCACTTGGAGTTTTCTTGGCAAAAATACTGGAGTGGTTTGCCATTTCCTTCTCCAGCTCATTTTATAAATGAGGAACTGAGCTAAACAAGGTTAAGTGACTTACTCAGGGTCACACAGCTGATAAGTGTCTGAGGCCAAATTTGAACTCAGGAAGATGAAAAGTCTTGACCACCTAGCTGCCCTGTGACTTATACTCAAGGTCAAAGAGGGCCCAAGTCCAAGTGCCCAGTCCCCACAGAGGCAGCTACATAAGGCAGCCAAGTAAATAAAGGCTGGACCAGTAATCAGGAAGACCTGAGTTCAAATGTGTTCACATGAGACACTTTGCTGTGTGATCTTGGGCAAGTCATTCTTTTCATCTCCATTTCCTCAACTGTAAATGGGGATAATAATTGCACCTCCCAGGTTTGTTTTGAGGATCCAATGAAATAATATTTGTAAAGTGCTTAGCACAGTGCCTGGTCCATGACAGGTGCTTAATACATGCTTCCTTCTTTCCTTCTTCCCTCCCTCCTTTGCCCGCTCGATAATTGAAAATATCTCTCACCCAAGAAGGGTCCTCTCACATTTTATAACAATCCTAAAAGACAAAATTCCACAACCACACAAAATGAAGGTACACAGTTTGATTTTTGGTGGTTGTTTTTTAATCTACCCAACAAAGACAACAATGAAGTAGGGAGAGTTATCTCTGCCTCTTTATCTCTGCTAATTCCCCTTTTCAATCTAGTTCAAGGTGTACAAAGAGAAATTCCTCTTAACTGAATTAAACAAGAAGAGATTCTTACTCATTTACAAGACAAGCTCTGAGTCTCAGGAAATTAAGATCCCTCTCTGAAGCTGATTAAGTTTCAGGAAGACTGATTAGGTCTTTACAAGTGAAAATAAGGACCCTGTATGTAATATTTTCCTAACATTACTTCTTAATATTTTAAGACATGAATAAGGCCTTAATCTTATACGCTCAATCCTCGTTTGTATTTATTCACTGCACATTTATGTATATATTTTCTGTTCCCTCTGTTAGGATGCCAGCTTCTGAGAATAGGGATTAGGGATTATTTCATTCTTTGTACCTGGATCCCCAGTGCCTGGGGAAGAAGCGCCTGCTAATTGTTTGCTTGAATGTTAGTTGGATGTTTACAGGGACAGAGTGAGAAGGCATTTGGTTGGTGGTAGTACTCCAGGGTTGGGCAATGATCTTTGATTGGACAAGGGGACAAGTCTAGAGGATAGAGTCCAGTCAAAATGGTTCACTAAGGGGTCAAGATAGAGAAAGGAGGAAAAGATAGATGCTGCAGGAGTTTTGGCCTGGGAAAAACATTGGATAGAGGTATTAGAAGTCATGATGAGGATGAAGAACAAGGTTAGAGGTCATAAGGCAAGGGGAAAGATGGAATGATAAAAGGTTATAATCAGATAAGACAGCAAAGTGGCACAATGAATGTATAGGTAGGCCTAGAGTAAGGTGGGCTTTGAGTTCAAATTCAACCTCAGACAATTACTAACTGTGTGACCCTGGGCAAATCACTTTACTCTCTGTCTCAGTGTTTGAGTAGTCTCATTGTTTGCTGAACTATAAAATGGGAACAATAATAGCACCTACCTCCTAGGGTTATTGTGAGAATAAAATGAGTTAATGTTTGTAAAATACTTAACTTAGTACCTGGCACATATTAAGCACTACATAAATGTTAGCCATTATTATTACTTTATTTTTAGATAAAGAGATTTCAAAGCTCATGAACGTGGATGTGGAACAGTTATTGGTGATGACAGGATCAATGATCTGACCATTTCTGTGGGTAACTGAGATGGAGAGGAGGAGAAGGTCATAGGAATTGAGTAGATTGGGAAACTAGGAAGTGAAGATATTGGGGGAAGCATATATATACATATATATATATATATGCATATATATATGCATATACATACATACATACATACATACATACATACATACATACATACATACATACGTATGTTGAAGTCTCCTACTACCAGAGGAGGAGAGAAAGACTGTGAGTCAGGCACAGAACCCATTGAAGAAGGAACGAGCATGGCCTGGAGTCACTGTCCACTGGGCTGTGATTGAACATACAACCAGGATAGCTAGTGGTGCAGTTTGATCAGAAGGGAGCCCAGAACTCAGTGAAAAATAGAAGATAGAAGGCATGAGAAAGAAAAAGGTTTAAGATGCAAGCAAGTTTGTAAATTATTGAACAAGCATGCAGAAGGGTTGGGTAGATATGGGGTTGGACATTGGGGCTGGATAAGGTGGGAGGTAGAGTATCAGGCAGCTGGGGATTAGGTATTAGGGTGTGTACTTCTATAGCTGGGGGTTCAGAATCGTTGGGATTGGGAAAGTATGATGAGGCGGAAATATGCTAACCATTGAGGATTGAGAACAGGCAGAGTATCAGGGACTGGAGAGAGGTCCACTGAGGGAGGCAGATAATTAGAATTTTCAAGGATCTCCCTCAAGGTCCAACCTTGGAACAAGTGGTGATCTGTCAAGGTTCAGGAGGCCTGTCACACAGTGGGCAGAAACAAATGGTTGAAAGTGGGTCAGCTCTAAGAAAGGCCTCCACAGAACTGGAAAAATCTCTGGAGCAAAAAGGCCCTCGTCTATGGCCTAGATACAAGATGAATTGGGAGGCTCTGGGGAGGGGGGAGACAGAGGCCAAGAAGCAAGCAGATGGATGCAGGGCTCCCTAGGGCAAAGACAGAGTTCAGGATGTGAGTGACCTGGAACAGGGTTCCTGGGGAAGTCTCAAAGACACTGGGAATCAGGTGGCCAGGACTGAGGCCAAGGTTCCTGTGACACTTTGCCCATAGTCACACAGCTAGCTAGCAGCAGAGTCAAGAGCTGGGAATCAGACCCAGGTGTGTTGATTCTCAGAGGTCTGGCGTTCATAACAATTTGTTTACTTTTCCTACTCTGACTGAGGCACATGTGTATATGTACTTCTGTGTACACACGTACACACACACACACACACTCAGGCACTTGCTTTGTATTTCACCTTTCCCATATACATCTTTGTGTTGGCAGAGCTGACATTCTGTATTAGTGGAAAGTACTGCTGCCTATGGGATGTGAATAAAGAAACTGAGGCACAAAGAACCACATCCTATAGTGGAGCAATAGGGCTGAGGGAAAAGAACCAGGATGAGACCATGAAACCTCACACATTACCTCTTCTCTTGAAAGCAAACCTTCCTGTGGCTGTCACACTTCATCTAGAGAAAAGCCCAGGCACACCTAGGTGGCACAGTGGATAAAGCACCTCCCCTGGAGTCAGGAGGACTTGAGTTCAAATCTGGTCTCAGACCAGATGCCTGACACTTACTAGCTGTGTGACCCTGGGCAAGTCACTTAACCCCAATTGCCTTGCAAAAAAAAATAATAATAAGATAAAAGCCCAGAGTCCAGGGGGTTTGGGCTTTTTCTTAGGGTTAGTACCAGCATCTAGAATGTCCATATTTGTAGCTGTGTTCTACGCCCAATATTTGACTTTTAACCTGAGACAGCTGAATTTATTGCCTCCATGCCCCAAGCTGGGATGTTGCTCCCTCTTTAGGTCTTCCAGAGGCTTCATGGGATTGGAGGTTCATGACCTCATTTAAAAGGTGGTGCTGGCCATTCGCCTGTTAGCTCCTAGCTCTCCAGAGAAGCATGAGCTACCCCTCCTCAGATGCTACCCCCCTTTCTAGTCCCCAGTCTTTAGGTTCACTCACTCAGGTACTGTGCGCTTGGGCCTGAATGATTGATCAGATCAGGAAGTCTGAGGGGTCTGAGATGTGGTTTTTCTTTTTCTCGCCATTCCAGGTGGTGGCATTATCTCTGCTGACAGCAGCAGGTACGATAATCGAGTGCTCGGAGACCAGCAATGCGGACTTATTCAAGGCTTCCCTCGTGCACCTTGGCTGCCTCGGCATCATCCTCACCGTCACCTTCCAGTGTGTGCCCCAGTTCCATCTGCAAGAGACCTCCTTTCCTTCCACCCTTAAAGAGGTACGCTTCTCTCCTTCTGCCTCAGTGTCCCACAGAAGCCTTTTGAGAGTCCTGCTACAGGGGGACTGAGAATTTGGGCTCCTTGGGCAAGCATTACAAAAAAAACCCAACACACCTCCAGATCAATTTCTGGAGACAAATGCCATCGAGTGGATGGGGAGAACAGATACCAGGATACCACGCGATAGTGGGGAGACAAAAATCCCCATGTACTCAGGCTACTCCAAGGAGGCTGATGAGGGCAGGAGTAAGCATTAAAGAGAGGAGACCAAAGGGGTTAGGGAGGCACTCGTTTGCAGTACATGAAGAATGCTTCCTGTTTTTAACCTACCAATTCCCATTAATGAGGCACTAAGTCTACGAGCTATGCTGTTCAAAGATTGCAATTGCTAGTAGTGCCCTCTGATTTTTCAGTGCCTCGGAAGCAAAGCCCCTGTCAACTCACCCTAGTTCTGCCTCTGGGTCATGCTGGTTTGAGTAATCCTCCACTACTCTTAGTCTTCTTAAACTACGGATTACACTAGCAGGACCTTCTCTCAGCAGCTTTATTTACAGCCTGGATGGAAGAGGCAAGGAATTGAGGCAGGCAGGATTGCTGTCAGGAACATGGGTTCTGGAAAGAACTGACTTCTCTGAAAGGAATATTAACTCATATTACTTCTTTAACACCAGAGGGTCTAGTTACTGTTCAATTGTATCCAAGTCTTCTTGGCCAAGATATTGGAATGGTTTGCCATGTCTTTCTCCAGCTCATTTTACAGATGAGGACCTGAAGCAAACAGGGTTAAGTGACTTGCCCAGGGTCACACAGCTAGTAAGTTTCTGAGGTCAGATTTGAACTCCGATTCTCCCATCTCCAGGGCCAGTACTCTATTCAGTGCATCACTTAGCTGCCCCAATCTCATCTCTTGGGTCCAAGCTAATGAAGAGCAGAAGCTCCCATGAATGCTAGGGCCTTTGTCCAAATCCTACCTAGAAACTTCCTATGCCCCTAACCAGAGACCTCTCCCCTGTGGAGGGCCAGAAGACTTGGCTTCTGGGCACATAGCCAGGTAGGCTACATTCTCCATCTGGCCTTTGTTCCTCCCAGAGCTGGCTGTCATTGTCCTCTGCAGTGCTTCAGATACACTATTGATCTAGCTGTTATCAGTTTCCATCATATACTCCTGACAGTTATCTCCATTGCAAAGAAGTAGGGCCATAAATAAAGCTGGTTCATGGCATTTTCAACCATTTGATTTAAGGGAATTTGCCTGGAGGAGTGGTGTGGCGGTTGCTTTGAAGGCTTTCTGGAATGAAGCATTAGGTACTGCTAGGATTAGGAGATAAATCTGGGTGGACAGATAAAAGGACAGATTCCCTTTTCTAGGCTTCCATAGGATCAGTCCATTTGGAATAATGGGGCACTTAGATAGTATTTATTGCACAGTGAAAAGAGCTCTGGATTTGGAATCATGGGTTCCAACCCCAGCTTAGCCACTTACTACCTTAAATAACCTCGGACAATTCGATTCAAGAAGCATTTGCTAAGGGGGTAGGGAGAAGCTAAGAGAAAATAGATTTTTGTTGATTGAAAAAAAAAGTTTAAATTTATTTTAAAAAATAAAAAATATTAATTAAAAAACATTAAATATTTTTATCTTGTGCAGTCTTATCAGTAGTGGCTGATTTTTTTGTGACTCCTTTTGGGGTTTTCTTGGCAGAAATACTGGAATAGTTTGCCATTTCCTTTTCCAGCTCATTTCACAGATGAGGAAACTGAGTAAAGAGGGTTAAGTGACTTGCCCAGGGTCACCCAGCTAGTAAGCATCTGAGGCCAGATTTGAATTCAGGAAGATGAGTCTTCCTGACTCTAGGCCCAGCGCTCTATCTGCTGTACCACCCGGCTGCCCCATGAAGTGATGACTGTATGCCACGCACTCTACAAGTTGCACAGGATACAAAAACCAAATAACAAAGCGATCACTGGCCTCACGGAACTTATATATTCTGCTGGAAGGGAAATAATGATATTGTGCAGGAGAATAGTAAGTAGGTGCAGTGGATAGAGCGCCAGGCCTGGAGTCAGGAAGACCTGAGTTCAAATTTAGCCTCAGACATTTACTATCTGGGTGACCCTGGGCAAGTCACTTAACCCTGTTTGCCTCAGTTTCCTCATCTGTAAAATGAGCTGGAGAAAGAAACAGCAAACCTCTCCAGCATCCCTGCCAAGAAAATTCCAAATGGGATCATAAAGAGTCAGACATGACTGAAAAATGACTCAACAACAAAACCAGACTCTGAGCTCTCCTCTACGTATCATCTTTAGATAGCAGGATTCCAGAATGTGGTTTAAGTCTGGCTGCTGAATGAAGAAGTGGAGGATGAATGAGAATGGGCAAAGACAAAAAAATCTCAGCCCTCCCTCGGCCCGCAGCCAAAAGCCTTGGTACCACCACACTAAGCTAATCTCTCGCCAGGGCTGACGCCAGCCTAAAATGGCCAGTCAGTAGAGAGGGGGGATGGTGACCTGGACCACACTTGTTGAGACTAGACTGCCAGGGTAAGGTGGTCCTGAGGGCCTTCTTTATCCTCTCAGAGGCAAAGAAAGTAAGCTCGAAAGCACTCTGAAATGGGTACTATTAACACTGATTGATGCCAGTTCTGTAGCACTGTCCTAGACTTCAGGGGAAACACATGATCAGACATGACAAAATCTGGGAATAATCAAGTCCAAACCGGCAGCGTCAGAAAAATGTGTGTATAAACATATATATTTATGTGTGTGTGTGTGTGTGTGTGTGTATGTATATAGGTATGCACACATAATTATATATACATATATAGATACATACATAGACACATATACATATAGATGCATAGATATAGATACATACACACACACACACACACACACACACACAAGGTGGTTCAAGAGCTCCTAGTCTTAAAAAACTCAATGGCTTCCTGGAAAACTGGCCCGATTATTATTCCCATTACATTAAAAGGGGGATCTGAAGGCCAGCAGAGATAGGTGTGACTTATCTCAGAATGGAATCCCGAGTGAGTAGGAAAATGCTCAAACAGAAACTCCATCCAGATTATCAAGATCATTAGGTTTAGAGATTTAGAGTCAGATGAGCCTTCAGAGGTCATCTCTTCAAACCTCCTCATTTCACAGATGATGAAACTGAGGTCCAGAGAGGTTAAGTGATTAGCCCCACTCACTTCCTCGTTCAAGAAGCTTCAGTGGCTATCTATTGACTCCAAGATAAAAGTATAATTCCTCTGATTAGCATTTAAAGCAGTTTATAATCTGGCGCCAACTAATCTTTCCAAGTTGATTTTATACAACAGTGCCCCTCACACCCTAGTCATGCTTGTTCAGTCGTTTTTCGGTTGTGTCTGACTCTTTGTGACTCCTTTTGGGGTTTTCTTGGCAAAAATTCTGGAACTGTTTGCCATTTCCTTCTCCAGCTCATTTGACAGGTGAGAAAACTGAGGCAAACAGGGTTAAGTGATTTGCCCAGTAAGTTCCTGAGGCCAGATTTGAACTCACAAAGAGGAGTCTTCCTGACTCCAGGTCCAGCACTCTGTCCACTGCACCACAAAGCTGTACTCCCAGAGTTAGAAAGGACCTTAGATGACAACCCCTCATTTTTTACACATGGGGAAACTGAGGCCCAGGGAGATTAAGGAACTTGCCCAAGGCCACACAGCTAATAAACTTCAGAGGTTACCAAAGCCTTTAACTCTAAGATTACCAAGCTCACTTAGACTCCTGACGCTAAGAAAAGCAAGTCTGACAAGATCATCCAAAGCCAGTGGGAACAAGTCAGACTCTGAAGTCACCAAATCCCGGGGTTCCAAGGCTCACTGACCCTAAGGCAACCAAACCTAGCCTTGCCAGGGCTAAGACTTCTGGGACCTAAGCTACTAATCCCAACCCTTCAAAACAGATGCTGCAGGAAAGAGACTTGTTTCAACCTGAAATTTTCCCAGCCAAATTTTCCCAACCCAATCAATGTTAATTATTTTGAAATAAGGGAATTATGAGTCACAAGGAAAAAAATAAATTAAATAAGAACCCGGGTAATGATTGATCCTCCCAACTGTGCTACCCCTTGAGGTCAGGGCTTGCCCCAGCCTCTCCCTTCACTTTGAATTCTACTGTAACCTTAGATGGTTGGAGAAGAAAATGGCAAACAACTTCAATCTCTTTCCCAAGAGACCCCCAAATGGGGTCATGAAGAGTGGGACACAACTGAAATGACTGAACAACCACAAACCTTTGATGATAACATTGCCTCTCACTCCTCATTCCAAATCGAGAATGGTTTTCCTTCCTTCTCTGCTAGTCTCAGTCTTAATGACCTTTTGAGACTTAGCTAAAATCCTAATCTTCCCTGAGAACTTTATGCTACCTTCTACCCCCTTCCTTCCAATCCTTGATGACAGGACTTATTTTGGTGACCTCCTCTAGCACTTATTACCTACACCTTGGTTGACTAGTTATTTATCTTTGTATTATTTGTGATTTTCTTATGTCCCCAACTAGACATGAATGTCCAAGGGCAGGACTGAGATGGATATTATATCTCTCTCTATATATATATCTATATCTATATATCTATATATCTATATCTATATACATATCTATATATCTATATCTATATCTATATCTATATATATATGTATATATATATCATGATCCTATGATCATATCTTGTAGGTAGGAGGAAGCCCTAGGAAGATTTTGAGGGGGGCAGAGTGGGAGCCAGAGGGAGAGTGGCAAGCTTAAAAGAGTATTTTACTTGCTCTACACCAGTTGGCATGAGTACCTCAGTCTTCTGGGTACTCTTCTCCTTTCACTTCCATGGTATGCTACCATTTCCTGGTTCTCTTTCTCTAGTTGCTTCTTGTCTATCCTTATCTGGCCACTCATTCTCCTCCCATTCCTTAAATTCGGATGTCTTCAAAGGCTCTGTTCAGAGCCCTCATCTCTCTTATCCCTGAACTTTGTTTCAATCAGGAATCTCATAAACTGCCATTCCTTCATATCCTTTCTACATATCACTCACTAATCTTGATCTCAACCTCTCACCACTGTCTACACTCAAGTCCTTTCTTTTCTTTTTTCTTTTCTTTTCTTTTCTTGGAGGCAGTTGGGGTTAAGTGATTTGCCCAGAGTCATACAGCTAGTAAGTGGCTGAGGCTATATTTGAACTCAGGTCCTCCTAACTCCAGGGCAGGTGCTCTACCCACTGCATCACCTAGCTGCCCCTAAGGCCTTTATTTTCAATGGTCTCTTCCATAGCCCCACCTGGAAGCTCTGGTACTACTTCAAACTTAGCATGTCTAAAGTTAAATTCCTCACCTTGATTCAGAAAAATCTGGGTTGGAATCCAGCCCCTGACACTTCTAAACTGTGTAACCTTGGGTATATAACTTAACCTCTTGAGGTCTCAATTTTCTAATTTGTAAAATGAGAATAATATCACCTACTTCACGGAGTTGTAGGGATAAAATGAAATCATATATATAAAGATATAAAGTTTTGCAAACCTTGAGACTTTATGTAATGGAGATGGCTATTATTTTGCTCCCCTCCCCCAAATCTCTACCCCTCTCCCTAACTGCTCTTTCTACTGATGGCAGCCATCTTCTCAATCACCCAAATTCAATCTAATCACCTCCTATCATTGAACCATCTATCATCTATTCTGTTTCCTAAATATTTCTCACATCTGTCTTCTTCCCAGTCCTACCACAAGCACCTTAGTATATGATCTCAGCAGATCTTGCCTTGATGATTGTAATCAACTCCTAACTTGTCTCTCAGTTTCCATTCTCCTCCCTCTCCAATCGAGTCTTCATATGACTTCATGTCATCCCCAGTTACTGCTTTGTTCACACTGCTCCTCTGCTCAGCACTCTTCATTGATTTCTCATTGATGACCAAATAAATTATGGACTCCTTATTAAGGCATTCAAGGCTCTTCATAATATAATTCCAAATTACCCTTGCAGATTTCTCAGCCCCCTCCCTTTATATGTCATGCATCAGCAATATTAGACAATTTGCTATTCCTAAACATTGTCCCACCTGCTTTCTTCTATGTACTTTTGCTGTCACAGTCCCCAGTACTTGAAATGGAATTCTCTTTCATTGCTACCTCTTGAAATCACTCCCTCATTCTATTCTGCCTTGTACCATAGGTTTGTTTTGGGGTTTTTTTGGTTTGTTTATGAACATGGTGTCAAGCAAAGAGCCCTTAATTTGAAGTCAAAGGGATTCAATTCAAATCCTGGCTCTGGTTATTTAACATTTGCATGACCTTGGGCAAGTTACTTGACTATGGACTTCATTGCCTATAAAATCAAGGGATTGAATTAAATGATCTCAGGTTCCTTTCAGCTTCTATGAATGTGTTGACCAACTTATTCCACCTTCGCATCCCCAGCAGGTAGGCCTTCCTTACTCATAGACAGGACTCAGGATTTCATTCCTAGGTCGGATCAGTGTTTCCTCTTCAGCTTGGAGTCTTAGAGGATTTCTTGGACCACTGAGAGGGTGAGTGATTGACCAGAGTCACTAGACCAGCATGCATCAGCAGCAGGATTTAAACTCAAGTCTTTGTGACTCAAAAGCCCGCACCATACTCCTCACCCTGCACTTAGTGATGAGTTAATAAATGTTTGTTGAACTGGGGAAAGAGGGAGATGTTTGCATTGGGTTTACCCTTTCTCCCTTAACAAGAAGAGATAAAGCCAGGAGACTATTTACACTCCCAATGCACAAACAGAATATTCCAAGACTATTTACATACTGCTCTGAATTCCGCTGCTGTCTATTGCTCCCTTGCGTTCATTGGCTGTTGTTCCTTTCTGACCCTCTGCCACGGGAGATAGCAGCCCCCTTCTCAGAGAATGGGATCCTTTGATGTAGCAGGCTATCTGGCCCTGTGTCTCCTCATGCTCCTCAGAAACAAACCCGACCTTCCAGCCAAACTGGACTGCTGGCCATCAGTCACATGATCTGGTCATCCACCAGCCCCTTCCTGCTTTGATGTCTTTACATAGGTCATTCTTCCTCTCAGGAACAGATGCCCTCCATGTCCTTGCCTAAAGGCAGCTAGGTTGTGCAGTGGAGAGAGCACCAGTCATGGAGTCAGGAAGACTCCTCTTCCTGAGTTCCAATCTGGCCTCAGACACTTAGTAGCTATGTAATCTTGGGCAAGTCACTTAACCCTGTTTGCCTCAGTTTCCTCATCTGCAAAATAAGTTGGAGAAGGAAATGGCAAGCCACTCCAATATCTCTGCCAAGAAAACCCCAAATGAGGTCACAAAGAGTCAGGCACAACTGAAAATGATCCAGCAACAACATTCTTGTCTGTTGAAGGTCAAGTCAAACTCTTGCTGATGCACCTCCCCCACTCCCACCTCACCCCACGAAAGCAATTTTTGGATCTTCAACTCTCTCTTGGCATTTTGTCTTGATTCTTTGTGTTCACAACACTCTGCTGGTATCATATCTATTTTTAATTTTTTGTTGATGTCTTCTGTTTTCATATCGTCTTCCCTTCTGAATCCTTCCACCTTTCTACCTTCCCTTGTAATAATGAATTTTAAAAAAATAAAAAAAGTGATTTAGCAAACTAACCAGTGATCACTTGAGCCATCTGCAGTCCCTCACCTCTGCAGAGAAAGCAGAGATACATTCTCTCATCTCTCTCTTGAGTCCAGACCTGGTCATTATACTTACACAGCTTTTGTTTTCCAATTTGTAGTTGGTGGTAATGGTCTTTCTGTTTACATTGTTTTGTTTTAAATTTTTCTTTTTTTAAAAAAAATATTATAAACTTAACAAGCAAACATTTCAATATACAAAAGAACAGAAAAAAGAGGATTATATATGAAATCGTGAATCAATTTTATGAACAGCCCAGTTTTTTAAGATACATATATATATATATATATATATATATATTAAAAGTATATGTTCTAAATAGTATATTATAGTATATAGTGTATAGTAAATAGTATGTTGTAACAAATGGTATATAATAGATGCTGTTAAATTACAACACTGCCTTTCTTGTCTGTCCCCTTCTCAACTTTCTTCTGCTCTCTTCTCTATATTTTTATTCCATTCTCTTTCTTTTCTTTTGGTGCATTATTATCACTCCCTCCGCAGTCCTCCTCCACAACTCTTCTTTCTCCCCCTTCCCCAAACAAATGCCCTCCCCTGTAATAAATATATACAGTCAAGCCAAACAAATTCCCTCATTGACTGGCTATATCTGAAAATGCATATCTCACTCTGCACCTCCAGTCCCTCCCCTTTCTGCCAAGAGGCACACTTTATCACTTCTGGATTAGTGATCGTGATGTTAATCAGTGTTCTTAAGTCTTTCAGAGCTATTTTCCTTTAGACTGCTAAGAGCCACTATGGATATTACATTCCTAGTATGGTTTACCTCACTTGCTTCTCTGAATTCTTAATATTCATCATTTCTCATGACACATTTTGCAGTATTTGTGCATCCACTCTTCATACACCCCCCTTAAGGCTGATGGGCTTCCTCTCAGTTCCTTTCTCAAAGATTCCTTCTCACTCCAACCTAACTGTATGGCCTTCTAAATTCAGTAGGGGTGAGAGAAAGGAGAGATCATCATGGGCTAGAATAAAGTGAAGGGGAACAAGGGAAAACTCAAGAGAAGGACTTCAAAGAAGTATCTGGGCGTGGAAGTGGTAACTGTACAAGGATGGCACAGACCCCAGGCATATACTTGATGCTGTATCAGAGTAAAATAGGGTTTTACATCATCATCACCCTCCTCCTCCTCCTCCTCATACAACCATAGGATTTACATCATTATTTAAGATTTACAAAGCACTTTATAAATATTATTTCATGTGACCCTCACAATGACTCTGGGAGGTAGGTGCTATTATTATCTTCATTTTACAGCTGAGGAAACTGAGGCAGACAGGGGCTAAGTGATTTGCCCAAGACCACTGAGCTAGTAAGTGTCAGAGGCCGATTTGGACTCAAGTACACATATGTTCCAAGCAATGCTTTTCCACATTATCTGTATGTTGGCTCAGTGCTGATTTTGCACGTGTTTTCTATATTTCCATTAATGTACATGTTTCTCCATTTAGAATGTAAACAACTTAAGGATACGTAGCGTTTGTGTTTTTTCTTTGTATCCTTAGCATTAGCACAGTGCCTGGCACATTGTAAATGCTTAATCAATGCTTGTTGGCTGATCAATTGACTGATGCAGGTGATTAATTTGGAGGGCCCATCAGGTAGTCCATCAAAATTGACATCGTAATAATGCTTATAATAGGGTTATACTGTATCATCTCCATTCTCATACAATTACTTTTGTGCAGATAGGGAGAAACTGGTGCACCGATGGAGTCTTGTGACTTCCAGCATCCTATTAAAGAAGCCACCATACTAAAATTTCCTTCATCTCTTTCTAGGTTCTGGACAATTTAGACAGCCATCTCAAGAAATCTGAATATTTCCGATTCCTTTGGTTTCCCCACAGTGACAACGTCAGTGTCATCTACCAAGACCACACCAATAAGGTACCTGTATACTTCAGTTTTTCAAAATAAAAAGTAACTTTTGTTGTGAATTTGATGATGCGCAAATATGAAAACAGATGTAGGATCTGTGATTTTGTTGGTGTGGGAGTATTCCTAGTATAGAAAACTGCCTCCATCAACACAGATCACATGTCTATCTATGGGCTTAATAGATAAATCAGTATGGCTTACTGGAAAGAATATTGGCTCTGGAGACAGAGAAAGAGGGCCCATATCCCATCTGTGCTGTTGACGACCTATATGACTTTTGACCAGTCACTTAAACTTGAAAGGTCCCAGTTTCCTCAAAATCCTGTTACTGAACATAGACGTTCATTCAGTAAGCATTTATTAGGCACTTACTATGTGTGCCACCCACTTTGCTAGGAGCCAGGACTAGAGGGGGGAAATGAAATAATAGTCTTTTCCCTCAAATGAATTTATAGTCTATTCAGGGAAAATAACATATATACAGACAAGTAAATACAAAATCTATAATAACGATAACAAAATAGCTAGCATTTATGTAGTACTTTAACATTTTCAGAGCGCTTTACAAGTATTATCTCATTTGACCTTCTCAAAAGCTCTGTGTTACTATCCCTATTTTATAGGTGAAGAAACTGAGGTAGAGAGACATTAAGTAACTTGCCCAGGGCAATACAGCTAAGTGTCTGAGGCTAGATTTGAACCCAGGTCTTCAACATTCCAAGTCCAGCACTCTATCCACTAAACCACCTAACTCTCTCTCTAATAACAACAGCAATAACAACAGCTTACATTTATATATATATATATATATGTGTGTGTGTGTGTGTGTGTGTGTGTGTGTGTGTGTGTGTGTGTATATAAATATATATATACATTTATATATATGTATATATATATATATATTTACTCTATGACAATAGAGTAAATATATATATTTACTCTATGCCAAGCACTTTACAATTATTATATCATTTGAACCTTTTACAACAATCTTGAGAGGTAGGTGCTATTATGATCCCCATTTTATAGATGTGGAAGCTGAGGCAAATAGAGGTTATGTGACTTGCCCAGGGTCATGAAGCTAGTCAGTGCCTGAGGCTGGATTTGAACTCAGGGCTTCCTGACTACAGGCCTAACACACTCTATACACTATGCCACCTAGGTGCCCAAAGTCAATATAATTTTGAAGGGAAGAGTACTAGCATCTGAGGGGAGGCGAAGGGGGATCAGGAAGTCAAACAAGCTACAAGCAATTATTAAGCACTTACTATGTGCCAAGCACTGTTAGGTGTTGGGGATACAGAGGCAAAAAAAAGAAATGTGCCCTCCCCTCAAGGAGCTTCCTAGTACAGGCATCAGTGCTTGAATTTGCTTCAAAGGACCCTAGGGAGTCTCAGGTAAAGGTGAGCATTTGGGGTTCATAAAGAAGCAAAAGGGATCTTCAGATAGATGGAGCAGACACTCTGAGGAACCTCCATGGCAGAGGCGCAGGCCTTCTTCCAAATGCAAAAGAAAAATAACAGGTAGAAAAGAAGAGGAGAGAGAGAACTTTATTATGAAGCAGCCCACCCCCGTGGCTCTCTCCCACGTTCTGAACGCACAGTACGTTCACCATAGCACATGCGTCTTGGACTTGGGGAACAGCGAAAGGTCTCCATCTAAGCGATAAGAAAGCTTCTCTCCCCTCCTTGCAAGATTCACAGAAGGACAATCTCTTCTCTGTTAGGATACTGGGCCACCTTCCTCTGCTCTTTCCTGACCACTGTTCTACTTCCCTAGCCACCCACCTCGGCGGCCAGCTGGTTCTGGGACTACGCCGTTGGATTCTACCTTCTGGAGTTCCTGCTCTGGGTCAGGTAGGACTGAGCTCATCGCTGGTTTAGAGAGTTTGCCATCTCTGCCAGGAAGAGAAGGTCTCAAAGCCCCAGCTCTGTTTCACCCTACTTCCTCCTCTCTGGCCATCTCCTGCACAGCCCCTGTAGCAACTGCCCGGCCACCCACCCCAGACACTCTCCTTCCAGATCTCCCCAATGCCCAGCCCAGCCCCCGTCTCTAGTTCTAGCACGTGAACCATGAGTCAATCTACTCTGCCACTAGTCTGGAATGGGGGGGGGAGTGTGTCCATATGCTTCCCAAAAGCCAAACTCACCTTTACTTTCAAGGCCAAAGTCCCCCTCCCTGGTCACTACCTTTCTAGCTATGTTCTTTCCCCGGTTTGAACATAAGCTTTTTTCAAGTATGTGTCCTTTTTGTTTCTGGATTTGTATCCCCAGCATTTAACGCTCCCATGGACAATACTGTCCATGGGTTTTCTTGGCAAAGACATTAGAATGGTTTGCCATTTCCTTCTCCAGTGGATTAAGGCAAAGAGAGGTTAAAGTGAGTTGCCCAGGGTCATATAGCTAGTAAGTGAGGCTAGATTTGAACTCAGATCTTCCTGATTCCAGGCCCAGTACCGAATCCATTGTACCACCTAAATGCCTCCTAGGTAAACAGAGTTAAGTGACTTGTCCAAGGCCACACAGCTAGTAAGTGTCTGAGGCTAGATTTGAACTCATATCTTCCTGATTCTAGGCCCATTGTTCTATCCACTGAGCCACCTCGCTGCTTCAGTCCTTAGTAAGCTCTGGATATCATTGCTTCATTCCTAAATCTAGCACACCAGTAACCACTATTCCACAGTCAAGTTACCTGAAGGAAATACAGAGTAGTGAAAAGAACCTTAAACTTGGAGTCATAGGACCCATGTTCAAATCCTGGCCCTGCCTATGTGACTTTGGGCAAGTCATTTAAGTCCTCTGGGCCTCAGTCTCTCCATCTGTAAAATGAGAGGGTTGGCTTGGTTGACCTAAGATATCTTGCAGTTCTTGACCTAAAATCCTATCCCAATTTTTATCTGTTATTACGGAGAAAAAGATCCTAGATTCTGCCCCACTCAGGGTTTGCTTCCTTTCTGTCTTTTTGTGTTCCTCAGTCTTTACTGACTGATAACTCAGGAAGGAGCTGTGGACTGGACTTAGCGTCATTGGTTCAAATCCCACCTCAGACACTAGCTGTGTCACACCAGGCAAGTCATCTCACCTCTTAGACTCAGTTTCCTCATCTGTAAAATGAGGGAGTTGGACTCTAAAGTCCCTTCCAGCTCTAAATCTATGGTCCTGTAACTCCGACCTTGCTGGGGCAGGAGGGAGAACTGTCTCTGCTTTTTGTTGTGACTGTTAACAGTTCAGTTGTTTCAGTTGCGTCTGACTCTTCATGATCCCATTTGGGGTTTTCTTGATAGAGATACTGGAGCGGTTTGCCACTTCCTTCCCCAGCTCATTTTACAGATGAGGAAAAATCCAAACAAGGTTAAGGGACTTGCCCAGGATCACATAGCTCCTAAGTGTCGGAGGCCAGATTTGAACTCAGGAAGATGAGTCTCCCTGATTCCAAGCCCAGTGGTCTGTGCACTATGGCGCCACCTAGCTGCCCAACTTATTCCTTTGGAAAACAGATTTGAGATTGGGCTTTAAAAAAAAGACTTTACTAGCAATAAAGCAGGGATTTTGTCAATCTTTGGCCATCTGGAAAAGTCTATGAACCTCTTCTCAGAATAATTTTTTAATATTCATAATCAAAAGAAATGCTAAATTTCAATTAGAGGTTACTGAAAATAAAGATGTATTTTCCCCCCATTCTAGTTCATAGACTCCCTGAAATCTACACGTGGACCCCCAAATCTTAACTAAAGGGAGGAAAGAATAAATAAAACAAACCCTCAGAGAACAAGGTATTGGGTTGGTTTTTTTTTTTTATTTCAGAGCACGAGACTCTTGTCTGAGGAGTTCCAAATCTAGCCTTGCTTCTGGGCCATCAGCTCCTGGGGCTGATCAACATGCCCTTCCCACGTGACCAGCATCCTTGGCTGGTCCTTGATCTCAGTGGAAGGAGTTTCAAGAGGGTTAAGCATGGGGCCCCCAAGCCAGGCTGGGTACCTTAGTTGTCTGGTCTAGAACAGTTGTCCTTTCCCAAGACATCCTCCCCTAGCTGTAGGGAATCTCATTTGTTCATCTTTTCTTTCTAGCTATGACTGACCATCTACCCTCTAGCCAGAATCCAGTCTTCAAGCTAATAGATCATACTGGGCCCATAGTTATCATAGAGCCAAGATTTTGTGAGGGTCTTTGGGTAGTCAGCAACTGTCCTGCTCTAATCAGGACTATATTTCTGCATTTATAGATTTGGAGCAGCAAGGAAAAGTAGAGAGCTCCTAGTTCAGCCCATCATATTTCTGGTGAATATCTGAAGCCCAGAGGAGCAAGTGCTCTGACATACATCACATGTAACATCAGATCCTAGAATTCACAGCAACATGATGTGGAGCTGGGAGAAAATTTAGGAACCCTCTCGTCCACTCCTCTCATTTTACAGATGAGGAAACTGAGACCTGGAGAACTTAAGTGAATTGACCTTAATGAGATCTTATATGAAAAGTGGTTTGCAAATCTTAAAGCACCCGATCAGTGTTAGCCATTGTTATAATCACTGCCCAAGGTCACAGTTAAAAATTAGCAGATCTGGGATTGGAAAGTAGGTCCTCTTCCTCTGAATCCAACATGCTTTCCCTGCCTTACACCTCATTTATAGAGAAAGAAACTGAGTTTCAGAGATGAAATGACCTACCCGTGGTCCTATAAGAAGTAAGAGGCTGAGCCTTGTTTTCAACTGAGGTCCTCTGATTCTATAGCCTGCACTTAATCCCCTCTGTATCTTGCTGTTACCCTAATACACAACGGAAGGGGAAGAAATGAGCATTTATTAAACACCTACTGTGTGCTAGGTACTTTACAAATATCTCGTTTGATCCTCACAACAATTCTAGGATATAGGTGCTATTTTACTCCCATTTTACAGTTGAGGAACCTGAGGTAATGACTCTAGGATCAGTGCTCTGTCTACTGTGCCACCTGGCTGCCTCAATCGAGGATTATTTCAAAGAATACATTGCTATTTTTGTATTCTAAGATCATACAATGAGGCTTGACTCATGATAAGCTCTTTTCACTATAATTTTACAAGGGAGGAGAGAGGAAGGGAATAAGAATTTATGAAATACCTAATATATTCCAGGCTCTGTACTAAGCACTTTACAAATCTCTCATTTGACAAGAAAATGTGTTTGAGTGCAATGGCCTGATAGGGTCCTTGTGGGTCACAACCACCTTGGGAGGGAGGGAGGTGCTATTATTACCCCCATTATGCAGGTGGAAAACTGAGACAGAGGTGAAGTGAATTGCCGCAGGTCACACACAGTATCTGAGGTCAGATTTGAACTCGGGTCCTTCTGACTCCAGGACTGGCACTCTATCTACTGTGCCACCGAGCTGCCCCACGTTGTCCATCTTTTACAACTCTTTTTCTCCTTCTGCTGCTGGTAGCCCCTCAGTCATTAGGTCATCGATTTAGAGTTTAGAGGACTCTGAATGGTCATTTCTTTCAAATACCTCATTTTATAATTGAGGAATCTAAGTCATGGTTTAATACTTCCCTTAACTCCCTGTGGTATCCCTTGGTTTCTAATCGGGGCCCCTTTCAAATTAGTTCCTTGCCCAGGGTCAATACAACTAATAAGTGTGTAAGGCAGAATTTAAACTCAGGTCTTCCTGACTCCAGGGCACCTAGCTGCCTTCAAATCATACTGAGGACCCACTTAGCAAAACTGCAGAGGAAAAGGGTGGAACTGGAGTGAGAAAGTTCCTGCCACCTCACCCTACCCTCTCCAGCTGCATTACCCCCGGCTGCCCTGAAAACCAACCTAAGCGAAAATCAAAAATCTCTGGAGGAGCAAATGGAACTGGGAGCCTTCATCTTACTTTCCGCTATCAACTAAAAGCTGCTGTGCTCCCTACCCTCACAAATCACTGGCACTTAAAAGTTACCTCCATTTCATGGAGAGGTCATTCAGGGCACCCAGATTATAGATTGTAAAAAAGGATGGAAAATGCTACATCAGAGTCTTTCTTCATGGCCACGAATTTCATTACTAACAGCATGACAGCTTTATGTGTTTGTGTCAGTGAAGTTAATGTCCAGGGAATAAATTAAGCCCTAAATCAAAGTTGCAGCCTTTCAATTACCGCCTTTCTGCTGAACGCAGTCCTTCTTTGGCACCCTCCTTTCTAAGTCTGCTTAGGAGCTAGTCCAGATTTTTTATGTCTGCTAACCAATCAATTAATTCTACCTGAACAAAACTCTTTTTTCCCCTGAAATAAGATAGGAATGTGCTAATCCTGTCTTTTTATTTCATTTCATTTTTTACTGGTATCTTTTGATTTTTTAATCACCTTTATTTCTCAATATCTCCCTTTCCCCATAATTTTTGAAATTAATATTAACATTAGTAATTGTGGTCATAATTAACAATGTTAATAGAATATTAATTATTCATTACAATTAATAATAACAGTAATTAATAAAATTAATAGTATTACCTACTTATATTAATATGTATTAAAAAGCATTTTCAGCAAAACCAACCTAAAAATCAATTATGTCTGAGAGTATATGAAATATTCCATACCCGTAGTCCCTTACTTCTGCAAAGAAGGAAGAAAGGGACATTTTTGCATGTCTTCTTTAGGGCCAAGCTCAGTCTTAATAATCACAAAGTGTTCAGTTTGGGGGTTTTATTCTTTCAATTTACATTAAATCATCGTGTATTTTTTTTCCTAGTTCTGCTTATTTCACTATTGGTTCATATAAGTCTTGTTTAGCAAGACTTAGCACAGTAACTGACACATAGTAGGTGCTTAATAAATGTTTATTGATTATTGATTACATCTTTGAATTCTTCACATTCTCCCCTTTTAACAGCACAGTGAGATTCCATCACATTCATGTACCATAACTTATTTACTGATTACCTGATCGATCAGCACTTAACTTTGTTTCCAGTTTTCTGCTACCCAAAAAAAAGGGTCTAGGTTCCTTTAATAAAGTCTAACTGAGCACAAAGTGGGTTAAAGACTTGACTTCTCCTAGCTCAGGATAACAGATTAAGAGCTGGAAGGATTCCTAGTTTTATGAACGAACAAACTGGAGGTTCCATTAATTTTCTCTACCTGAACAATAACCCTGTTGGGGTAAGTACAAGCTGTAGATGATAAAAGGCTACTCCATCTTTAGTTAGCAAGTCCCCTTGATTCTCCGTCTGTTGTGTCTATCACATCCATGCCGTTTCTCCATTATTATTATACCGGTGAGTAGGTTCCTGTAGTTATTGAAACAGAACTAGAATGTGGTGATACCCAGAAAGAGGGTTTACCCAGAGCAGTGCTACAATAACAACGTTGTGTTAGACTCCTCTGTCTCTTGCGTGTTTGCTGATACCTTCACAACCAAATGTTAGTTTATTATGGGAAGGAATATAGGAGGGAAAGGAAAGTGTAGGGGTGTGTGTGTGTGTGTGTGTGTGTGTGTGTGTGTGTGTGTGTGTGTAAGCTCTCAGGGGACCAGGACCATGCCATCTACTACTTTGGTCTACCATAGCAACTTATACAGAGCTGAGTTCATTACAGACACTAAAAAGTCTTGGCTGAATATATGAATTGATATTTTATAGACAGTACGTGGGTAGAGCGCTGGGCCTGGGGTCAAGAAGATTCCTCTTCCTGAGTTCAAATCTGGCCTCAGATCCTTACTAGCTGTGTGACCCTGGGCAAGTCACCTAACCCTCTTTGCCTTAGTTTTCCTCAGTAAAAGGAAGTAGAGAAGGAAATGACGAACCACTCCAGTATCTTTGCCAAGAAAACCCCAAATGGGGTCACTAAGAGTAGGACACAACTCAACAACAATAACAACAACAAAGATCTTCTTTGCATGTCACTAAATTAATGATGTGGAGGTGAGTGTTAGGGAAGAGACAGTAGAAGAGGTCCAAAGATTATAAGAGGGGGGCTGATCAATTTGATGAGTTCCCCCAATGACTTTGAGAAGATCCCAGGACAAGAGATTTTGAAGGCATCTGAGGGGCATCTCTGCCCTCATGGAGTGTGACTATGCCCTCTGGTTCTACTGGCTTGTTACTTAGGGTGATAATTTGGGTGGGGTCTCCCAGTTCCCTCATCTTGAGAGGCAGTGTGGTTTATCGGATAGAGTGCTAGACTTGGGAGTTGGGGAGACCTGGGTTGGAGCCTTACCTCTGAGACATACCTGCTGTGTGATCAAGGGCAAATCTCTTAACCCCTCCGAGCCTGTCTCCTCATCTGTAGAATGGGGCCATATCGCCCACAGCACCTCCCTCACTGTTGTAGTGAGGCTCAAGTGAATTAAGGTATGTAAGCGCTGCATAATGTCAGGGATGAGTCTCAGGGTGATGCCTCCTGACAATAATGCTTCATTTCTTCCCAGCACCTTCCTGCCCGCCCTCGTGCCCTGGATCAATCGCTTTTTCTTCTGGCTTCTATTTGCCAACAAGGTGGAGAGCAGTGATATCAGCTACAAGATTCTCAACTACGAGTGTCGCTTCAAGCAGTATGTCCAGGACTGGGCCATCCCCATGTACGGTACCTCTTCAGGATCATTACATTCACTAGAAGTAAAGCGGCTTGTTACGCGTAATTGAGAAACCAGGAGGCTGGCTTCCCAGGGCTGAGGCATCGGCGCTGGGGGTGAATGTCAGTGGGTGGGAACGCTCCCTCACCGTGTTAAATATTCTCACACACCAATAAACCACTGGAAGGGGAAATAGAGGAAATCCAGGTAAACAGCAGCGATGAAACAAGAAGTGATGAATGTGGTACCCATAGAAGGTTCTCTCCTTCCTTTCCTCTTGGTTTCCGATTTTCACTTGCAAAAAATCTCAAAATTATTTCTTTGACTTGTACTTGGTTCCTAATCTCTCCTAACTTGTTACATTTCCTCCTTATCCCTTTGAGCTGGCTACAATGGCAGAGTAACCCCAAAAAGCTTGTGATTGCCCACAGGAGAAATCATTCCTTTGCCATTTTCCCATTCCCATTGCCAGCCTCACTCCTGGTGCTGGGAGTATTTCCTGCCTTTATCCAAACTTCTCTGTTTCCCCACTATAATTGACATCCACCTTCTGTTTCCCCACTATAATTGACATCCACCTGACAAGCAGTGTGGGTCACTCATTTTTGACTCTTGCATTAGGAAGAACAGTAAGAGGAAAAAGACAGAAAGCAAAAGGGGCGGGGGAGGGGCTTGAAAGGCTGATAGAGATCCAGGTCATGGGAAATTATAGCAGCAGGTGCAAATGATTCAGGCTGCCCGAGCTTGCTCAGACCCCTTCTGCCTCACTGGAAGGAGGGCAAGCTGATTTTGGATGAATAGTTCAGTTTGAGGGGCATGGAAGGAAGTGCAGAGCTCACCTCACTTAGCTGTGCTCAGGCTATGAGGCCTTGTCAGCTGTTCAGCATGGCAAGGACCCTGCCTGATGCTCCAGGGATGGTGGCTTCAAGCAGCAGTCGGAATCTTTATTGAGAATGACTCTGGGGAAGCTGAGTGGTGCAGTGGATAGAGCACTGGCCCTGAAGTCAGGAGGACCTGAGTTCAAATCTGGCCTCAGACCAAACGCCTGATACTTATTAGCTGTGTGACCCTGGTAAAGTCACTTAACCCCAATTGCCTAAAAAAAAATTTAAAAGCGAGTTTAAAAAATACATCTAAAGAGAATGACTCTACAAGGTCTGCATGGTGTGACAATGGAGGATGACCTCTTAACTTAGCTTCCTTTCTCTGTCCACAAATTCCTTGCTGACATACAGAAACCCACCACTTTCATGATGTCAATGACATTTGGGATCCTAGAAAGGCGTCTTCATAGCTAGATTCCAATAAAGTATGGAGGGTGGGGAGGAGGCAAGAATAAACATTTATATAGCACCTGCTATGTGCTAGCCGTTGTGCTCAGTGCTTTGTAAACATTATTTCATTTTATCCTCACAACAATCCTGAGAGTATTGTCCTCATTTTACAGACAAAGAAACCAAGACAAACAGGGGTTAAGTAACTTGCCCAGGGTCACACAGCTAGCAAATATCTGAAGCTGGATTTGAACTCAGATCTTCCTGACTTCAAACCCAGCACTCTATCCACTGCGCCACCCAGCTGCCCCTACTGAAGTTCTACCAAGTTGGAACCTCAGGAGATCAATCAATGAATTTATTAAATGCCTATTATGTGCCAGGCACTGTGCTAGGTGCTGGATGAGACAGATATAGGCTGAGGAGTCCAAGAATACTTCCTCACCTTTCCTTTACCTCCCTCTATCTTTCATGAAGTAAAATACTCATATTGCCACAAAGCTGCCCCTGACTAACATATGTCTTGTAACTGATAATTTAAATTCAGATATCTCAAATTTGGTTATTGCAGATATTAATATTGATGTTATCATTAATAATAGCTCACTTCTATACAGCATTTTGTGGTTCTATAGTAATTGTATATATGCTAATCACTTTGCTTAATCACTGCACCACCTCTGTGATGTTACCTGTAGGGTATATAATACAAAGATTTATTTTTTAAATGGGAGACAGTTTGTACAATGGGGCAGCAAGATGGCTCAGTGCATAAAGTGCTAGACCTGAGTTCAAATCTGGCCTCAGACACTTACTAGTGCAAGTACTAGTCACTTAACCCCTGTTTACGTTAATCCGCTGGAGAAGGAAATGGCAAACCACTCCAGTATCCTTGCCAAAAAAACCCCATGGACAGTAAGGTCCACATGGTCACAGAGTCAGACTCGACTGAACAGCAACGTGGTACAGTGGAAAGAGACCCAGATTTGGAGTCAGAGAGGCAGAAGCCTGGCTCTGGGTCTTATCATCTCTGTGACACAGCCTCTCTGGCCTCGGTTCCCTCATTTGTAAAAATGAGAGGGTTGTTCAGAAGGCCTCTCAGGCCCATTCTAGCCCTCAATCTATGACCCCAAGACCTGTGATTTCCTCCACGTGAGAAACTTTTAGTGTGGAAACTGCATGTGGCTGATGTACATCAGCTAAGTCTGTGACTTAGTCTTCGCAAGTTGACTTGCTTATCCAAGGTCTGGATGACTTGGGCTCTCTCTCCCATCCTTCCTCTGATGCATCCTGGCTGGGTGGGCAAGTCACTTAGTGCCCTCAGGCAAGTAAGACAGAAATGGCCGAGCAGTTGAACATCAGGGCTGGTGGAGGGAGCTTCCTCACCAGGAGTGACCTGTGACAATGGTACTATAGGGAATAACAACAAAAAGAAAAATGTTGCAGCAAAATGGAATGTGCCCTAGATGAGGAGTCCTGAAAACCTGATTTCAAATCCTTGGTCCAAATCCACTTCCTTGGAAGAGGAGGAGGCAGTGTGGCATAGCGGACAAAGCATTGGCTCTGGAGTCAGAGGACAGGGCCCAAGGTCAGATCCTGCCACGGATGGTCTCTACCTATATGATCACTTAACTGCACTGGGACAAAGTGTCCTCATCTGTCAAATGATGGAGTCATGGACTAGTGGGCACTGAGGTCCTTTCCAGATCTAAGATCCCAAGTGAAATCTGCTAGCTGGGTGATGTTGGGTAAGTCACTTAACCTCTGGCTGAGACCATTTTCTAGTCTCTAAAAGGAAGATAATATTTGATCTGCCTGTATCACAGAATTGTTCTGAGGAAAACACTATGTAAATCTCTAAGGGCTACAAATATATTTTCAAGGCTATAGAGTGGCCTCAATCACTTAACAAACATCAATCCGGTGCCTACCGCAAACAGGTGTTAGGAAAAGAATTCAGGCATGCTGATTGCCTAATACATATATCATTCAGTTCTTTCGGTCGTGTCTGACTTTTCATGACCCCATTGGGGGTTTTCTTGTCAAAGATACCGGAGCAGTTTACCATTTCTTTCTCTAGCTTATTTTACAGATGAGGAAACTGAGGCAAACAGGGTTAAGTGACTTGCCCAGGGTCACACAGCATATCAAAGCCAGCTCTGTATTCCCCAGCTCACCTTGCCTTTCTCTAAGCCCCTCCATTTACTTACCTTGTGTTCAGACAGACCCCTATCTGAAGATGGTACTGGTCACCTCTGCAGCAATGTAAAAGAGGTGGGGGTCAGGTTTCAGGGTCTATGGACAGAAGCACTAGACCAGGAGGGGGGAACCTGTGGCCTCAAGGCCACATGTGGCACTTTAGGTTCTCAAGTGTGTCCCTTTGACAATCCAAACTTCATAGAACAAATCCTCTTCATAAAAGGATTTGTTCTGTAAAACTTGGACTCAGTCAAAAGGCCACACCCAAGGACCTAGAAGGCCACATGTGTCCTTAAGGCCATGGGTTCCCCACCCCTGCACTAGACCCTTGGGTCAAACTAATACACTATGATCTCATTCTATTTATTTCTGGGTACAGTGAAAACACAGCAGAGGCCTTGCTGGACCTGAAGACCATGCTGGAGAAGAATCCCAAGGTGGTGGCCCATTTCCCCGTGGAAGTACGGTTCGTGAAGGGAGATGACATCCTACTCAGTCCGTGTTTCCAGAAGGACAGCTGCTACATGAACATCATCATGTACAGGTACAGAGTGGTGCATTTGCAAACTCCCCTCACCAATGCAGGCTGGTGGGGTTGGGGGGCCAGAACTGGGTCCTCCATCCATTGAACTGGATGACTGAGGACACCAGAGAGTGAGTCTGCTGCCAGTCTGTCTACTTTTCTAGCAAACCTTAGATGGAGCCCTGACTTTGTGGCAACGAAGGAATCTGGGTCTTCTTAACTTGGCGTATTTGCCTGCTGTAAAACCATTGGGTTGTGTGCGCCTCTTCCCTGGGGCTGTCAGGGTCCAAATTGTAGACACACTGTAAAGCACTCCCTTATTTTGTATATATGAATAATTTTCCTCTTTCTTTGAACCCTTTGGGGTATAGGCTTAGCAGTGGCGTCATTGGCTCAAAGGGTGTGCATAATTGGGACATGGAGCCAAAGTGATTTCCAGAATGGCTAGACTACTTCATGGCTGTCAATAGTATGCTAATTTGTATCAAAAAGGATTTATTAAACACTAACTTTGATTAGTCATACAAAGACAAAAATGAAACAGTCCCTGCCCTCAGGAAGATTATATTCTGCTAAAGAGAAACAATTGTACACATATGAGTATATAAATAATATAAAATAAGTATATAAGCAATAAAGTAAATACAAGACTATCATACTGCTTGAACTCAGCTTTTTAAAAATTAATAGTATTTTACTTTTTCAAATTACATGCAAAGACATTTTCAAAATTCATTTTTTGAAAGATTTTGAGTTCCAATTTTTCTCCCTCTCTCCTGCCTGTTCTCCCTCCCCAAAATGGCAAACAACCTGATACAGGTCACAATATGCAATCATGTAAAACCTATTTCCACATTAGTCATGTTGTGAAAAAAGAAACAGAATAAAAGGGGGAAAAATGGAAAAAAAGTGAAAATAGTATGCTTCAATCTGCATTCAGACTCCATAGTTCTTTCTCTGGCTGTGGATAGCATTTTCTATCATGAGTCTTTTGGAATTATCTTGTAGTATTGTATTGCTGAGAAGAGCTAAGTTAATCATAACTGATCATCACATAATATTACTGTTATCGTGTACAATGTTTTCCTGGTTCTGCTCACTTCACTCAGTGTCTGTTCATGTAAGTTTTTCCAGTTTTTTTCTGAAATCCATCTGCTCATCTTTTCTTATAGTACTCCATTATATTTATATATCACAACTTATTCAGCCATTCCCCAATTGATGGGCATCCCCTCAATTTCCAATTCTTTGGCACCACAGAAAGAGCTGCTATAAATATTTTTCTATATGTAGGCCCTTTCCCCTTTTTTATGATCTCATTGGAATATAGACCTAGTAGTGTTAGTGCTGGTTTAAAGAATATGCATAGTTTTATAGCCCTTTGGGCATAATTCCAAATTGTTCTCCAGAATGGTTGGATCAATTGAACTCAGCTTTGAAGGAAGCTAGGAATTCAAAGGGGGTGGGGGGGGCAGAGAGAGAGAGAAATAAATTCTTCTCACTACTTATTACTCCAAAAATGAACTCTTGACCAAACCCACCATTTTTTCAATCTTGAAGATAACATTGAAGGGGAGGTCTCTTTCTCTTTCTATCAGGTCAGCAAGGTAAAAATTTGGGTTTCCATACACACTCTCTCTCTCTCTCTCTTTCTCCATCCAAACCTTTCTATACCAATTTTAAAATGAATGTATCATTAAAATCGATTTCCTTCTTGGGCATTATTGTAGATTTCCAACATTTTCCTTTTCCCATTTTTCTCCTTTGCATTTTTGGCATAAAGGAATTTTCAATACAAAGCCAATGCTCATGGTCCCTATTTAAAGGAGCTCAGAGGTCTTGATTTATTTATAGCCAAGTTGATACATCCCTTATGTAAAACATCATCCAGCTGGGTGACCACAAGGGCTTCCTTTTCTTCCCAAGCATCTCCTCTTGGAATTTCTTTTTCCTCCCATCTCTTCACACTTAAAGCATATAAGGAATACATAATAGCTACTTCCAAATATTTGAAGGGCTGTTATCTGTTTGGTCCCAGAAAGGAGAACCAGATAGGGTATTGCCAAATTGTGGAGAGCCTTGAATGCCAGAGAGGTGAATTTTGCTCAGTAGGAAATAGGAAGCCATTGAAGCATAGGAGTGAATTGTTCAGTACTATATTTTTCTAGCAGACCTGTGAAGGATGGATTGGAAGGCAGAGAGAGTAGAGATGAGAAGGCCTGCAGAAGTCCAAGAAGGAAGTAAGGAGAGCTCACCTATAATAAGATGATGAGATTGGAAATAGAAAGGTCCTAGTTTCAAAAGATGGTATGGAAGTGAAATTTCCAGGATTTGGCAAATGAAAGAGAGGAAATAACGCTAAAGATTTCAAACATTGGTGGTGCCATAGACAGGAATTTTAAAGTCAGAGGAACAGGTTTAAAATGGAAGATCCCACATCCCATTGGGATGTTGATCTTGAGGTGTCAGTGGGACAGTCAGGAGGAGAGATCCTGGAGGACATTGAGATGCAGATCTAAAACTCTGAAGGATGGTCAGGACCATGGATGATGGGTTTTAGAATATGCTGCCTGGAGGTAATAGTTGAAACTATGAAAATTAATGAGATTGCCAAGGGAAGGAGTGCAACAAAAGAGCTGATGCTTGGAGAACGCACACATTAAGGAGCAGAGGAGATTAAAAAGAAAATGAGATGAAAAAAAATTGTTAAAAAGGTAGGAAAACCAGAAGAGTATGATGTCCCTAAAGCCAAGGCAGGAGAAAGTACTAAATGTCCAAGAAGATGAACACTGAGTAATAGTGTAACACAAGCCCCAATATGAGGCCCCTTTTGATGTTGTGCTGCCTTCCATAAGCCCTGGAGACAGTGTATGTTTTTAGTTACCTGGCAAGGGACGTTAGTTGAGTGCAACGTCTGAATTGCCCACCAGGTGGCCCTCTAATTGAACCACAAGCCTTTTGTCAGTTCCAGAGGTTGCCATATCCCAGCTGGCCACAAGGGGGCACCTGTCTGAAAGGCCCATGCTGCTCCCTCCCACTGACCTTGCATGGTAGAAGCAGCTTTGTTGGCCGTATTCCAATTTAATTTAAGAGAGGAAACGGACTATTGCTCAACACATAAAAATATGGAACCTGTTGTCTACAACTAGCTCTGAGGCTCCGTCCTACAGTGCATTCCACTCTCTCCACTTACATTGCAATGCATTTATAAATTTCAGAGATTTAGTGTGTTGCATTCATATGCATGAAAATACTTGGAAAGGAAACTAGATCCCAAACTCCCATATGGAGACAGTTGTCTCCAACCATCTCCCTCATCCAGTCCTCCCCTTTCCCTCCCTGTCTTTTGACGTAGACTGTACACACATAGTTTATAAACAGTAGAAGACCATTTGTTCCCCATCTTATGGTGGTGGATAAAAAAAAAAGTGGGACAATAGTGAGAAGTTTCCACTCCCCATCTCAGGATCCCAGATTAAAAAGGGAAAGCAGCTTGAGAAATGCAAATCCATAATGTCTGTCATTCTCCACACTGCTGGACCTCTTTCCTCCTGGAAGCACCCAGTCACCATCTCTGCTCCAGGATCTGAAGTTCTTCTTGTGGTCCTGGTTTTCCCTCTGGTTGCCTCATTCCTCATGGCCCCTGTAGAAATATGAAAGTCGTGGTTGCTTCTCCCTGGGCAGTAGTCCAGAAAGGTGTGCCTTTCCATATTGTCTCCACTCAACCCAGCCTCTCCCATCTCTCTGCTGTCGCAGAAGTCCAAATGGCAAGGTCAGAGGCAAGAAGAAAGGAAATGAAGACAATGCTGCCAGGTGTAGACAGCATCCCGCTGGCCTGTCCTATGACTTGTGCTCTCAGTATAAATGAGAGGCTGGTCACTCTTTGGAGGCACTGTAACTAAGAGATAGCAAGGTTATTGATCTGTTACATTTGTCCATAGCACAACACCCAGAGTTATAGCAATGGACTCAGGAGTGTTTAGTATTCACATGGAAGCAATGGAGAGGCCCTTCAGACAGCCTATTGTTTAAATACTTCCAGATGCACACATCACAGAACCTTAAGTGGGGCTGCATGACTGGGACTTTTCCCTAGGGTGTTTAATTTAGAGGACACTGAAAATACATGCAGTTCTTTAGAAGGGAAAAGAGATAGTGCATTTATTCAGTGCCCGGCACTATGCTTAGCACTTTAAAAATACTATCTCCAATTTATCATAACAACCCTGGGAGGTAGGGATTGTTGTGATCTCACTTTACAGATAAGGAAACTGAGGCAGACCGCAGTTAAGTGATAGTAACTAAGACCAGATTTGAACTCAGGTCTTCCTGGCTCCAAGCCCAGCACTCCATTCACTGCACTACCCTAGCTGCCTCACAATAGCTAGTATTTATATATCACTAAAGTTTTCCGAGTATTTTATACATTTTATCTCATTTGATAGAAGCATAGAAACAAAAGAACTTATCACTTAGCAAACCGAATGAGTTAAAATAGCATAACAACTTTCTTCTCCACAGTCACATCCCAGGTGAGCTCCTTCCGTTGCCACCAGTCCCCCTTCTCCATCTCCCCTTTACTAAAAATAAAATAAAATAAGGAGCTGTGAAGGTGTATTTAGTATATACTTGCTCCTGGGCATGGTTTGCTCTCTCCCATATGCAAATACTGCTAGTTATACAAGGCTCCTCTCTCTTCTTCTTCACCACGTATATCCATTTGGTTGCCAAATTTTTGTTGTTTTTACCCTCACAACATCTTTCCCACCATCACTGTCTTTGCTCCCACTTATGCACTCCTGAATGAAGCTGGAAAAATTATGAAATGATGCTCATGGGATCCATTGTGAATTTGTGTAACATAATCTGAATTAGGCACTCACTGTGACAAGGCAATCCTTTTACACCTCCCTAATTAACTCACCATGCCAAGCCAGAGCGGATTTTCCAGCCCTGTTCATCTCTCCTCCAAACTCCCATGGTTCCCCCCCCCACCTCAGCTGAGGGTCCCCTGCCTTACATCTCACTAAAGAAGTTGAGGCCATTCTCTGAGAACTCCCTCATCTCCCCTCCTCCTCATCTCATATGACTCAGATGCCTTCCACCGCTATTCCTCCATCACCCTTCTTTTACATGAGGGCTCTTCTCCTTGCCAAACTAGCCCCTCTACATGCACAAGTGATCCAGCTCCATCTGACCTTCTCCAGCTAACTGCTCCCTCATTGCTCACTACTCTCATTAATCTTCAATCACTCCCTCCTGGCTTCTTCTCCAGTACCTATAAACATGTATGTGTCTTCTCCATCCTCAAAAAAAAAAAACCCTTCACATGATCTATCTATCCCTGCTAACATCCTGTACCTCTCTCCCCCTCTCATGACTAAGCTCCTTGAGAAGGAAGTCTATAATCAGTATCTTCAAGTCAAGTCAGTAAGCATTTATTAAGGACCCACTCTGTGCCAAGAACTGCGTTAAGCTCCAGGGAGCTTTTGTTCCCATGTGCCAGGGAAATATGTCTTTGTTCTCCCTGCCTCTAACCTCTTTCCACTCCAATCTGTCTTCCAAGCAGCTGCTAAAGCGATTTTTCTAAATCTCGGGTCTGATCATGTTACCAATCCCCCAGCTTCAGTGTTTCCCTATTACTCCTAGGTTCAAATATAAACTCTTCTGTCTGACATTTTGTTTTCTTCACAACTTAGCCCCCTCCTACATTCTCGGTCTTCTCACACTTTACTCCCCTCCTCCAAGTCTTTGTTCCTACTTCACTGGCCCACCTACTCTTTTGCACGCACTGTGCTTGCTTCTGCACCTGCCTAGGCTCTTGCTTTCTCTCTTTCCTGGAATGTGATCTCTCCTTACTTCTTTCTGCCTCTTACAGTCCCCTCAAGACTCAGATCAGTTGCCACCTGCTTCAAGAAACTTTTCCTGAGCCATCACCTGCTAGTCCATATCCTAATGTAGGGTGTGTTCAGGGAAGACTAGTACCTCTGGCTGCTTTCTACCTGTAGTGTCCACCTGATTCACCCAACTCTGACCTGCGGCTCCAAGAAGCTGTAGCATGTGCAGTGGCCACACCCTGGTAAACTGTTTTGGCCAATGGGCTAAACCAGGTTGAGGGTAACCTAGGAGTCTTAAACTCATCAGTGACTTAGGAGGGTGTCTGCTCCAAGAAGGTATCCCCTGGCAGAATGGGTGGATGATAACAATTTGTTCCAACTGCTATGAAATTGGCTGAAGCGGGCACTGTGGAGCATTTATGGCTTGGTTAGACATCAAAGACGCCAAGGTCATCCACTACATCCCTGGCCATTGCCAGTCATCCTGACTTTTGTCCTGCTACTGGACATCAGTGACTCTGGAAGAGAGAGTGAGGCTGATGACTTTGTGTAACACTGCTTCACTTAAATCTAATTTGTGTGTGAATCAAGACATCACCCACGCTATCGTAGCATTTTAATCTACTTCAGTGTCCTGTGGCAAAAGGAAAGTAATGAAACAGCAGGTGCAGATACATTGGGAACTGTAGTCACAACCCTGCATACAGGCGATCCAGGCAATAGGATCATCTTCTCACTGGACTGAAGATGTAGTGGGATTCGGCAATCCTTTGGGCATCTGAGCAGCCTTTTTGAAGGACTGTGCCACTCACCTCCTGGCATTAGGAAGGGTCTAGAAAAGGTGCCCCAAAAATTGTCTGCTTCACCCAACCCTGGCCTGCTTACTGTGGCAGGCAGGGATCCTACTCTGGAATTGAAACACAAAAAATGGATGCTTCCATTCCTCAACTGAGATGATATACATTGTGCTTAAACACCTCACTGGATGAGGTTCACATTATCTCAGCAAGACCAATAGGATGCTTTTTTGATGTTGTGCTTCCATGCTGTTACTGTGCTCAATTGGGCTTACTCCTTAACAGCAGCTATAGTATCTATCCCTTATAGCTTTAGATTTAGCTGATGCCTTCAGTTGAGGAAACACACTTCTTTTTTAGGAAATAAGCCATGACCTTTACTCTAAAGTGAGCAAAAGTCTCTCCAAGTCTACTCGTTTGCAGGATTCTTCACCGCAACAGATGGCAATGTAGAGAAGTATCTTCTGTGTTCTCTATTCTCCTCTACCTCTCAGCAACAACACATAACAATGCAGGAATATATTTACTGTCTCTTCTCGTCTCTTTTCTTCTCTTCTTTTTTCTCCTCTTTTCTCAGCAGCAAATCATAATAGAAAGCAGAATATATTCTCTCTATTTCTTATCACCAGTAAGTCATAATAGAGGACAGAGTATATTCTTTCCATTTCTTCTCAGCAATAGGCAATGGTAGAGAATAATCCAGTTTCTCATTGGCCAACCCATGTGCCTGGCAACAAGTGACTGTGGAGAGGGAGTTATGGTGCATTTTTTTATATAACTGAAATTTTATATAATTCTGAAACATAATTCTGCGAATTCTTTTACTTCTGTCCCTTTTCTGTTACCTTTCTTGGTTCAACAGCAGTATTCTCTCACCAAAAGATCATGCTTCAGTTTATATTTAGTAACCAAATTCTTATCCTCTGTCTATAATGAGAGGATAAGAACTTAATTACTAAATATAAATATATATTCTATATATGATTCTATAATCATATAAAATATGCTTTTCCCATAATCACAGAACAGTTCTGGTATCCATATTTCTCCAGTCATAGACCTTTAGTTCTCTTTTTTCCCTAGTTACAAACCTTTAGTTCCCCAGTTCTTAAATTCTCCATGTGGAGATCACTGAAGCCAATTCTATTTTCCATTTACTCCAAAGTTCCACAGCCTGTAAATGAGCAAGTGCTATCTCAAAATAAAACTCCAAGCCAGACTTGGTTTAGAACCTTGAGTCAGACATAAGTCCCCACACTAATGAACTGTCAAATCAGACAACTCATCAATTATTTTTTCTCTTAAAGTGAACTCTCAAAGATCACCTCCTTGTGTGTACATGTCATCTTTCCAATTAAAATTTAAGCTTCTTGAGCTCAGGGAGTGTTTTTGTTTTTATCTTTGTATCTCCAGGGATTGGTCCTGGAGACTGCACAAAATAGGAGCTTAATATATGGTAGTTGGTTCATTGATTCACAACTATTTAACACAAAATCAGCTGAATTAATTATAAAATGCTGATACTATCAGAAGATTGATGAAAGTCTGTGTAATTGGAGGAAAGGGCTGGATAAGACAAAGAAGCTTGCATCAGAGAGTAGGTGGTAGGTGAGAGGATGAAGAGGTCAGCACAACAATAATGTGCTAGCTAAGAGATAGTTATCAGGAGCTAAGCCCACAAATTCTGCCCTAGAGCTAGAGTTGTGTCAACAGCATTAAACTACTAAAGTCCATTTAATCTAGTGTACAAAAGCAGGCCTTCACAAAAGAGTAATGCCCTAATCCCTTAAAATCTTGAGAATGTATATCTTACAGGATATAGTTTATAACTCCAGGAAATTGAAGTTCACAGTATACCAGCAAGAGTGAAGATCTCCAGAATTTTTTAAAAACTACATCTCTAATGGCCCATGATTTGGAAAGCATTTTTCTGTAACCAAGTCCTAAATAGTTCCTCTTGGTGTGGGACAAGAGGATTTTCAAAAAATGTTCATTCTTCTGGTTCTGCTGAATTCCAAGAAGAGTAAGAGTGTGTGCTCATGGACCTCAATGTGTTTTGTAGGCCCTATGGAAAGGATGTCCCACGCCTAGACTACTGGCTGGCCTACGAGCGCATCATGAAGAAGTTTGGAGGAAGGCCCCATTGGGCCAAGGTATGGACGCAGTGCTGACTGAGCAGCTCAGGATCTGAAAGTACTTCCTGGGAAGCTTCCTGGCCCCAAGCAAAATGGGGTTTTGCTTAAATGAAAAGCAGCTAAAAAATGTTAACTGAGTTTAAGGAGAACAGATGTCCCTTTGACCTCTACCCAACAAAAACAAAACCCAAAACATTACATCTAGAATAGCAGAATATGCCAAAAGACAGAAGAATCTATTCGTTTGTAGGATCCAATTTCTCTTATCCGTGTGACCCACAAGCACCAAGACAGGGATGATAAGAAACCTTTAATGCATGATTTAAGGCTTCCTTTTTTGTTTTATGCCCTAAGAAGCCCTCCTCTTTGGAGATAAGTAGAATGTTGGACATGGAGTTAGAAAGACTTGGCTTCAAATCCTGTCTCAGATACCTACTAGCTCTGCGAACTCTGGGCATGTTACTTAAATTCTCACCTCAGTCTTCTCATCTGGAAAATGGGGATGATAATACCTACCAGTGTCTACCTAGGTAGGGCTATTGTGAGGCTTGAATGAGATCATCTGTCAACCTGCTTTCCAAACTTTAAATCATTATGTAAATGTCAGTTAAGAAGAGGCAATGCTGCTTATTGGATAGAGGTAGGCCCTGGAGTCAGTAGGATCTGGGTTCAAGTCCTGCGACATTTATGGTGAGAATCACTTGAGCTTTCAATGCCCCCAAGCAATTCTCCAAGACTCTTCAGATTACCACTCTATGGTCAGAGTTTCCCAGGTGGGAGTTCTCCCACACCAATGAAATCACAGATTCTGAACCTCCTCCTCACCCCATGTTTGACCTGCTCCTGCTTCTTCTGTTGTTCTTGCTTTCATCTCTTATTGGGGAATCCCCCCAAACAGGAGGAACAGGACTGGTGTACCCACCAGTGTTGGGGGCAGGGAGCCTGATGAGTCAAAGATAGGGGGCCAAACCAAAAGAAACGACATTGGTTCACATGCTAAGGAAGACCACTAGCTTGATGATAGCAGCTTCAGCTTCCTAGAGTATGGATTTAGTTTTTATAACCTTTCAGACCCACTTTAATAGTATTTTATGTTTTTCCAATTACATGTAAAGATAGTTTTCAACACTCATTTTTGTAAATTTTGAATTCCAAATTTTTCTCACTCTCTCCCTTCCCTCCCCCTTCCCCAAGACAGCAAGCAATCTGATATAGGCTATCCATACGCAATCATGTTAAACATATTTCCGCATTAGTCATGTTGTGAAAGAAGAATCAGAACAAAAGGGGAAAACCACGAGAAAGAAAAAACAAAAACCAAAAAAAAAAAAAGTAAAAATCGTATGCTTCTTTCTGCATTCAGACTCTGTAGTTCTTTCTCTGGATGTGGACAGCATTTTCCATCGTGAGTCTTTTGGAATTGTCTTGGATCATTGTATTGCTGAGGAGAGCCAAGTCTATCAAAATCAGTCATTGCACCGTGTGACTGTTACCGTGTACAATGTTCAGACCCATGTTAGGGTACATAGCCAATCAGTTGCCTTGTGTGGCAATTTAGGATAGATAAGGAAAACATTTCATGGGAGAAGGAGGGTAGGAAAAAAGAGTGATCAACCAAAAGAGAAAGGGGGGAGTATTTGGAATGCAACTGGAAGATTTATTATAAGAAAATATCCCTCGTTCATGGGCAGAAGACAAGAAGTGACCAAATACTTTTTCAGTTGTAAAAGAAGTCCTTTTAGACAAAACTGCAGATTTCTTATCCAAGGACAATAAATACTTGTTATAAGGTGGATGGGAGCTTCATCAGGTCTTTTCATAGGTTGTTATATTTTATTTCTTTCAATAAGGGTTGAGGACTTTCTAATATTAGGTCATTGGGTAGTTGGGAGGTTTTTATATTATTAGCCCATCAAGATGTCTCACAATGATTGTTTCCTACTTTTCCTTACACAACAGTGGGGTTGTTTGCAAGCTACTTACATTACACTATTAGTCAAGTTTTATTTGGTGAGACCTAATACATTCTGTGTGCAAATGTGTAAGCATGTAGATATGTATGATTGCTACAACTCTATCCACTGTTAATGTCTTTTTGGCTCCCCTACCCTCTCTAGGCACACACCTGCACCCGGAAAGACTTCGAGGAGATGTATCCATCATTTCAGAAATTCTGTGCTATCCAGGAAAAATTGGACCCCACTGGAATGTTCCTGAATGCATACTTGGAGAAAGTGTTTTACTAAGAAAAGAGAGAAAATGTAAAATAAACCTGGCTGCTTGCTCTAAGATACCCCAACTTTCCACTCCCACCACCTCCTACTACCCCTACTCCTCCTACTATATAGCACAGTACTAAACCAAATCTCAGATCCACAGAATTTCAGATGTTATCAATTCCCTTCTATAGCATCCCCAAAAGCCTGCTACTCTATCCATCTTCTATCTGACAACCTCCAGGAATGGGTCCAGAGGCCGCTCATTCCGTTTCTGGACAATTCTAACTGTTACGAAGTTTTTCCTTTTATTGAATAGAAATTGCATTTCTGCAGTTTCCACCCATTGTTCATAATTCTGCCTTCAGGTAGAAAAAGTTTTCCATTTTCTACTTGACAGTCCTTCAAATACTTAAAGACAGTCCTCATGTCCTCTCCATCTTCTAAACACTAAGTCTTTTCTTCTCCCTGGACCTAACCATACGATCAGAGATTTGGAGTAGGAAGGGACTTTAGAGGTCATGCAGTCTGACCCCATACATCATTTTATGGCTGAGGAAACTGGGGCCCAGGAAGGTTAATGTGACTTGCCCAAGGTTATATAGGTGGTATGTTACAGAGACAGAATTGGAGCATGGGTTTCTCTTTCTAAATCCAATGTTCTTCCCACTGCAGCAGGTGGCTTCCCAGCCTGTTTCTTCAAATGGACTGTTATGGCATGAACTGTGGCATCAACAACCAACCAGGTTGCCCTCTAACTTGTCAATGTCTTTTCCTAAGATGTGGCACCCTAGAATGCAGCATAAGTGACTCATTATCCTGATTATATGGTCCCTAAAAGTCAGTAGAGAAAGATCTCATACCCAACGCGAACTTCCCTTCTGTGCACATACACCAGATGTTTCTGTGCCAGCCAGGCCAGAATGACCACAATATCAGATCTGCATTACCAGCAGTGACCTCATTTCTTTTTATTATTGATGATATAAATCAAATGTTTCAGATTAATTTCTCTCTCCCACCCAAATAGAATGAAAGTTCCTTGAGGGCAGGACAGAAATTATTTCTCCTCCTCTTTCTCTCCCTCCTTATTTCTTCTCCTTCTTGTTATTCTTTTTTGCCTCCTCCTTCTCCTCCTCCATCTCCTCTTTCTTCTCTTCCTTGTCCTTCTTCTGCTCTTTCTCCTTTTTTCCTTCTTGCTCTTCCTCTTCCTCCTCTTGTTCCCTTTTTTCTTCTTCTTCCTCCTTTTTTCTTCTTTCTTATTTTTGGTAGCCTCTAGCACAGTGCCTGGTACTTTATAAAGGCTTGTTAAAGGAATGAACAAACATATAAGCATCACACACCTTCAACCATACAGCTTTCTTCAGTCTTATACTCATAAGCTTATCTTCCTCCATTAAACTTATTATTTTTTGCTATCTTTTAATAAAATGCTTTATTGATGTCTTTCTTGTCTCTATATCATTGTTCCCCATACCATTTCCCTTCAGACTCAACTGCCCCTTGTATTAAAGAAAAATAATTAAGCAAAAACACTGAATACAGACACTACGTCTGACAAGGTATATAATATTCTGTCCTATTCATCCCACAACTTTTTGCCAAGTGAGAGGATATATGTTTCATTTTCTGTTCTCCTAAGTATTCACTGGTTTTTCTATTACTCAGGATTCCACTTCCTTCTAGGGATTTTTTCATATATATAGTTGTCATTATTGCATAGATATGTTATATATGTACATTATATATGTATACATATACATTTATGTGTATATATATATATATGTATAAATATATATGTGTATGTATGTATATACATGATGGCATGTCTTGAAAATGACCAGACAGTGACATGCTGGTTCTGGCCATGTTAGATATTTAAAGATATAACTATTGACTGTGGATTCCTTTGCAAGATACTCCAGCTTTTTCCTTTGTTTTGCCTTGTTTCCAATTTGTGCCTGATCTAGGGTACTTTGAAAGAATGAATAAAGGGTAACTGTGGATAATAAAAAGAAGACATGGCCCTCACCAAGGATGAGTTTACAATCTATTTGGGGGAAATAAAACAGGTGAAATGTCATATAATAACATAGGGAGGACAGCAACTGAAAGAGGTTTGAAGGGACTAAATACCCTTGTGAGATAGATCAAAGGGTGTTTAGTCCCATCAAGCCTCTTTCAGTCTTGTCCCTGGGAAAAGGTTTGCACAGGCCATGATTGGCATGGTGGGAGTGGAAAGGAACTTTTAAAGTCTAAGTCAGCACAGAGGAGATCCAAAAGACAGACAATTCCTAAAAGCTTATTTGGCTGACTCCCTATGAGCTAGATCTGAATCACAAATAGCTGAGGGAGCCCTTGGGACTATGAACTAAAAAAGCCGGTATGTTCTTCCTCTAGGGCGAAGGGCAGCTGAAGACCATCAATGATAGAACAGAGCAGAGAATAGCCCAGCACTGTGCCGTTGCATCCTGTAGCTCAATAATATCACCTGATCAGTGCTGACATCAGCAGATGTGAGGAGCAGCCAACAATAGAGTTAGAAATAGAGAACAGTTCCAGCTGGAATCCAGCTCTAGAAGCATGAGTTGCCCTGACTATTCACAACCCTTTCCCATTTGTGTCCCCTGGCCATATATATTCCCTATGCATGTAGCCCTCTGTCACACATGGTGTGGAAATCTATGGGAGAGTGAGCCCCCAAGTGTATGAGGGAAATATTCATTGTTATTTATTTTGCTGTTTTGTTTAATTAAATGTCTTTTGCTCTTTACTAGCTGACCTGACTAGGCTAATAAAAAAGAAAAAAAATCATCATTGGGGCCCATGAGATATGTTGTTAAGTAGATGTTAGACCAAAGGAGGCTTTGAACCTGCTCTAGCTTTTGGGAGAGGCCCAAGTGTCACTGGTTCCTCCAGCCACAATAATACAAGTCAATCTATGAGACCTCCACAGTCTATAAATTGAATCCCACATTACAAAGCTGTTTGCTTCTGGGACATAGTGGAGATAGAGAAGTACAGAATAAATACAGTCAAACATGACTGAAACAACTGAACAATAGAATCAATATGGTACTGACATTCCCTGGATCCCTGGAATGGAGAGAGAACAGCCCTCAGTAAGACAGCATGATAAAGTGGAAAGTTTGGAACTTGGAATCACAGGACTGCCAATGCCACTTGTTACCTGTGTGACCTTGGGCCAGACAACTCTCTGGGCCTCAGCTTCCTCATTTCTGTAAAATGGGAGGGGTCGGACTAGGCTAGCTCACCTCTAAGGTCCCTATGATCCTCTAGTGTGCTATACTGTATTGGAATAGGGATGGAAAGCAGTGAAGGGAATGGGGGAATGATGGGGGACAGGGATAAATGCGGTTGTACTAGAGGCAAACCCCAGGACTGGCTATTTCAGGGAGGTGGAATACAAACCATCTTCCCACCCTACTATGGGTTGATCACATAGAGGAGTGTTAGATGGGGAAGGGAAATTAGCATCACACAACTTTTAGAACTAGAATCTTGGAGCAGTTGTCTCTTAAGTGAGGGCTAGGGTACCCTGGAGGGCCCAGTCTGACTCCCAGGGATATATGATAAACCACTCAAAAAGTAGGAAGATGGGGTGCATCCCACCCTCCTAGTAATAGCCAATCCTAGGGCTTGTCTCTAATGCAACCAAACCTGTCCTTACTATCATTCCATGCCTTCCACTATGCAAGCTCCCAACCTCTCCAGTTCTGACTTGGCTATTGGACTATCTATCCTAACCATCGCCTGGGCACCCACAACAGGAGCTGCTCAGGCTCCTTTAGGAAAATATCTTGCCTCCCAGCATCCTCAGTCCTGTGAGAGGGACTGAGCCAGGCATCCTTGGAGGATAGGCTCCTGTGCACAAGGGAAATGATCTGTGACTAAGAGCCCCTTCCTCTTCATTTTGGGGGACAGTGAATCTCCCAGAATGAGCTGATGTTGGGGCAGGTTGAGATATGTACCTCAGATCTCATTATGTTATCTTCCCCAACCCACTACCCACATCCCACTCTTCTTCCAAACTTCTTTGTTTCTATTGAGGGTTCCAGGAACATCCCCGTCAACCGGGTTCACCAACCTCTGTAGCATCCTGGACTCTTCACTGTTATGCCACATAGCTAGTTAGTTGCCAGATCTCCTGCTTTCAGCCTCTCCGCCATCTTTGCATCTGTCTTCTTCTCTCTCTTCACATAGATGCAACCCTACCTCAATCTCTTATTTTCTCTTGCCCAAGCTATTGCAAAAGTCTTCTAACTGATCTCTCCAAATCCTAACCCTCCTCTCTCTAATACATTATCTGCCTAGCTCTCAGAGTGATTTTCCAAAAACTCGGTGACCCTACTCTTCTACTCTACTGGCTCCCTCTTGATTTCAGGATACAATATAAATTTATCCTTTTACAATTTATGTTCTTCTGTCAGTTGTATATGTATATAAGAATTCGTATAGTAGTACATGTACGTAGGGCAGCAAGGTGACACAGTGGGGAGAGCACTGGGTTTGGAATCAGGAAGACTCATATTTGTGAGTTTAAATCTGGCCTCCAACACTTACTAGTTGTGTGATCCTGGACAAGACACTTAACCCTGTATGCCTCAATTTCCTTACCTGTAGAATGAGCTGGAGAAGGAAATAGCAAACACTCCAGTATCTCTGCCAAGGAAATCTCAAAATGGGTTCACAAAGAACCAGACAAGACTGAACAACATGTATATGAATTATAAGTAATATACACTTATCAGGAGGATGTGCTTCAAAATTATTTTACTAATAAGGATGAATGATCAAAAAACTTTCAAGACCTTAGAGAGAAATGCTGAAATTGGTGTCCAAGGAGATGCTGCTAATTCAAGAAGAGCTATTTACAATGTATAACCAAAGATCCTTAAGGTTGCATAAAAATTGCATTCCTCCCTCAAGGTTTTATCTAACTAATACTACGTGGAAGAGAGGGAGTTAGATCCTCGGCAGAATTCAAAGATGTTTATGACAAGGGGTTATTTACATACAATACCTCTTTCAGATCTAAAATGCATAGAGAACTGTCTGTAAGTTAGTAGATAAGCCTTCAAAAGTTTCCTGAGATTACAAGGGGTTACAATTTTCTAAGTGTCAGAAGTGAGCTTTGAATTTAGTTCTTTCTGATCCAATCTGGCCCCTTCTTACCTTTCCTCCCCTTATTGCCTCCTCTAGGATTATCTATGATCTAGTGACACTGGGCCCTTTGCCATTCCACGAACAACACACTCTATCTCCCGACTGGGCATTTTCTCTGTCTGTCCCTTGTACCTGGAACTGTCTCTCTCCTCATCTCTATCTCCTGCCATCCCTGGCTTCCTTCAAATTCCAGCTAAAATCATAACTTCTATACGCTGTTCCTGATTCATCTTAATACCGGAGCCTTCCCTCTACTGATTACCTCCAATTTGTTCTGTTCATATCATGTTCTTCATAGTTATTTGCATGCTGTCTTCCCCATTATATTGTGAGCTCATTGAGTGTATCGATGGTCTTTTGCCATTCTTTGTATTCCCAGCACTTAGCACAGTGCCTGGCACATGGTAGGTACTTGATAAATATATATTGACTGAACAACTGACTCCAAGGCCAGCACTTGGTCCTTTTTACCATTCTGCCCCCTTCTAAATTTTCACTTGCTGGAAATGAATTGTTTAGTATATCGAAGGTGCGTTATGTAGATGACCAAAAAACAATGGAGAACAAACTAGTGTTAATACAAGAGAGCCTAGTCTCAAACCACCCGGCTGCTTCCTTGTTTCTTTCCTTACATACAACTTTACTCTAGTAGCTCCTGAACTGAAGGTTTATTTATTTTACAATCAACAGTGTGGTTGCAAAATGTTTTCTAGCTAAGCCACAACACTCCACAGTTGTTTTCTGATTCCTCCAGGGCTGAACAAAAAAAAGAAGAAAATGGGTTGAAATGTCATCAAGGGAAATCCATCCTACATACGGAAGAATTTCTGGATTGAGCATAATTAAAAAGTGCAACAGGTGACCAAGAGATATTGTGGTCATTCCACCACATATGTCTGT